ACCGGGTCAAAATCCGAAGGATTTTTTTTTGCTATAAACAAGAATCGGCGGGTAGGCGGAGGGTACGTAGCCTATTCGCGGGGGGCGGCGAAATGGTAGAACGGTTTTGGATCGAGATGAAGGGTGGCTTTTATTGTTTCGCCGTTTTGGCTTAAGCTTGAGTAATTACTCTCGGATTACCCGTTATACGTCGTTTCTACTTCTCTCGTTTTAGCGAACTGTTGTCTGTCTGAGAGTAGGTAGAGCAAGCGAAAAACAATAGGTGCGAGTGACGCGCGTCTTTTGAGACTCGTATCCTTTTGTTGTCGACGTTTGTTACAATTTCTCCAAGTGTCTAGAACCGGCTAAAAGACGTCTCTATGGTTTTGTAGTCCTAGATTTTTTGCCGAGAATTTTTAATAATTCACCGGCGCCTCCACCATAATTTTTTATTTAAATTTAAATCGCAATTTTAATTGAAAAATAAATTTAATTATACCGAAATATTAAAATATTCAAGAAAAACAGAAAATAAAAAAGAAAATCTGGGGTAACGACGTCTTGTTTCATCCCAAAACTAAACTTTTTTTTGTCGCATCCAAACGTCACAGAAGCACTTCTCGGCCAGATGGCTTGACAACGAAACGACAAAAACACGATTGCCGAGCAAGGAAATTTCCCTTCTTGCACACTTCTGCGGCGGAGAATGTTTAAGTCCCTGATGAAAATTCAATTTGGGAGAGCTCGTTTGCTCGCCTCCTCCCTTTCCCTCTTCCCCCCAAAGAGAGATAAAACGAGACGGAACAAAACGCAAACACTAAAAGCAAAATTAGCAGCAATAGGCCGTGTTGAGCGAACGAAACGAATGCGTGAACTTTAGGCACCTGTCGAGTACATTTGTAAAAGTCCTAGACGTGCTGCCAATTGTGTCGTACACTTGGCGTAATTAAAAATGAGTTACGTGCTATAATTTTTACTCGGAACTATTTAAACTTCCGAGTTAAACTCGTAAAAAAACTTGGTTTATTTACAAAAATAAACTAAACTATCGACTTAATGTGTATGTTAACAAAGATAAATTACGAAAACTTTAAGTCTAATTTTAAAACTTTTTACCCTATGACCCTTATCTTAGAAATCCTGTCGCATTTAGAATGATAAATAAGCGGTGACCATCCGGGTCCCTTAAATAATCCCTCAAGATCAAAACGTTCCTTTTGACCAAACTTTGAAATTGGTTTAAACGAAAACATCATTCAAAAATGATAAATTTGGGTTTTGAACCAAAGCCACGAAGTAAAACTCGTAATCATAATGCGGCAGTGGTGCAGTTTCGGAATGTATTAAATGCCGAGATTACGATCCGAGCCAAGAAAACGATGTTGTTCGATCGAAACGCAGGTAAACGTAAAACGCGTGATCTCGCGTTAAGTAAAGGGGCTTTAGGTCCCGTGCCAAAGACAAAGTAACAGAACTGAAACGCGCCAGAATTAATTACCGAGGTCTAGACATAGAGAACTGCGCAACCGGGTGAGAATTTTCTAGTGGATCGAAATAGACGAGACTAAATTTAACCACGGTTAGATTATTTTCAGATCTCTTCTCTTACGCGAAGATTATTATTTATCGATGTAAACTTAAAATTTTACTAACACAATCGTTGGTGTTATTAATATTTAAAAGGAACAAGAAATACGGTGAGATTGAAAATCTCGAATACAACGGCAAAACACAAACCGGGTATTTTAACGAAAAGCATTCCGTTTCGGTGTTTACAGTCCAGCTTTTCCAGGGGCCCCCAATCCAATTCGACCCCAGAGAGCCGTATTTAGGGCGCACATTCGACCAGAGAGGAAACGGTATCTTGTTCTGTTTGCAGTTACAAGACGACATATAATACATGTCACCAACAGAGTTATACCATCTGATCAATAGTTATTGCGCGATACCGCAGAGTTAGTTTATAGATTTCGAAAAACCCAAACCAGAATAATAAAGCCAAAGTAGATCAAATAAAAAGGATTAAACGATGGTAAAAGTCGTTTGGTTATTCGCATAAACATAAAACGAAACTGTTAATAATATCAACGCAGTTTCTTATCGCCCTTCCAGGGCATTAACGCTATTAACCGGTCCCGATAATTCGCGGGATAAACCGGGGGTGGTTGTGAAAAGCGGAGAATAAAAAAAAGGTATGTAATTGATGAGCGGCGCCATTGCGGGACCTTATCTGGCCGCTTTCCGCTCAATAAGACAATTAGGGGAGCCGTTAATAACCGCGTTGCTGGTGACATTTTACCCCTAAAAACAAAAAATCAATTCATTGTTATGCTAAAGGCAAGTTAAAATCAAACTAAATAGTAATCCCACCTTGTTTCGGGTTAGTTCTAATTTTAGTTAAAACTAATAAAAATGTATCCATATGCTGAATAATAACTAAACTAGAGGTAACACTAGTACTAGGTCTAAAACTAGAAACATTTTAAACATTTTATTATTCTTCCTTAATTTCCTTTTATTTTATGCAAATAATCCGCTTGAAACACACTGTATACATGTGACGAAATATGTTGTGCACGTGTGGTGTATCGGTATCGAGTTTCAACCGCAATCTGACACTCTATTATCGTGTGCGAGGTCTTTTGTTCGGGTACGATGAATACGTGCAGAGGACTGCATCTGCTGCAGGAGCACTTAAAAATATGCGGGTGAACTAATGAGTTCGCGGGGTTTACAGTTTTTTTTCTTTTCTGTCGCTTTTTTTGTGTGTACACCTTAATCCCGTTCGTCGCAGCATTCAGGTCGACGTTTCAAATTAATTAACGCAACGTTTCGATGTTGAATTAATGGGTGTCCTGCGCAGATGTGCCGCTTGACCGCCACACGCAAGTGATAAATCATCAATCATTCAACACCAACCGGGACGATACGCGTCTCGTTAACGAGCAAAAATATCATAAATATTTTTAACTCGAAAGTATGTATTTCCTAAAAAACCGATTTTTTTCTGCGGTTGATATCACATGTAAACTGGCACACGTATGTATGTACATTCGTTTTGTTACTAATTTAATTTAATTTTGGCGGGCGTTAATTACGTGAAACGCGCTTACGTTACGCGCGCAAACGGACGCCGACGACCGCATCGCCAAATTTATATTTTCATACACGGGGCACTGAACGAAATAAATTGCAACCGTTCTGCCGGTGACAATCGCGAACCCCACCGACGAGTGCACATAAATTTCGACCCGATACGAAACATGAACGTGCTCCACGTTTGTTTTTGACATCCTCGATCATAACACCAAGCTTAACTCAACAATTTAATACATCACTTTTTTTTCTTTCTTTTCTCTAACTGTAAATCAACTCAACCATCAAACACACTCTTAATATAAATCCATTTAATTTAGTGCCAATGATAGGCAAAAATTAATAACATTGTATGAGAACATTTTGCAAAATTTAGATAACCTTCGTGCTTTTTGCTTAAATAATCGCCTTTCATTAAACTTATCAAAGTGTAATATTATATCCTTCTCTAGGAGGGTAAACATACTCCAATTAAAATCCACTACAATTATAGCGTCGCTGGTGAGAAGTTGCACCGTGTCTAATTTATTAGAGATTTAAATTATTATTTGATAAGTATGTTAGAATTTATTATGGGATCCACGGTAGCTTTTTCTAACATTGATGAAATTTTCCTTTCAATACATTGATTACGAATCAACTTACACTTCTTTTGATATATTAACCCTCAGCCAGCGTCACTTTTGTGGGGATATGTTATGTTTTTATAAACTTTTGAACAATAAATGTAATTCTCCAATGCTTGTCGGTTCTATAGGTGTTCACGGTCCTCCAAGATTACTTCACTCTGACTTTCTATTTATAACACTAACTCCTAGAACCAATGCCTGTCAAAACTCTCCTTTATTGAGAATGGCAAGATCCGCAAATCGTGTCTGTTTCAGCATTCTTTCTATACATTTAAAAAATTGCTCTTTGCTGCAGGTGGTGTGTTGCCTCGGGCCTTCATTTGATATTTATATCACCTAGACTTAGTTTTTTTTCTCCTTTAGATTCACTTTTGTACCATTATTGTGTGATAGAGTGAATGTCACTCTATCTGTCAAAGTCAAATTAACCGCTAGTTCAAATTTCAAACGTTAGATGGCCCACTCTGTATGTGATAAGGCTGGCTAAATAAAAAATAAACCTCATTCAACAAATTAATTATTAATAATCAAATTAATGTTAATATAAATAATGAAGATTCAGGGGTTTTATTTATTTCAAATGTAACTTTTTTACGTTGGTATCAAATTTATAGTTTACATTGATAGCCCGTAACAATGAAATCAATCAAAACTGTGTTTTCAAATATATCGTTAAACAATACTCATTGCATAATACTTTTTGTGTGATATTGATTGAATAAATCGTTTTTAATATTATTTTTTAATAAGAAAATATTCAAATTACAATAACCTAATTTAAATCAGATTTATGTTGGTACTATTGACACATGTCAAATAAAATATAACCTAAAATCACAAATTTTAAATAAAATATTTTAATTGTTTAATAGAAAATCAACATAATTATACCCAGAATGTAATAACGGCGATAAATTTGAAAGCAAATTCGGTCTCGACCCCGCAGTCAAACCAGAAACAATTAATTACACCGGTTTCTAGAAGCACATCGCGATGGTTATTGTCTTCAGAGTGCCACTCGAGCTCGTAACCAGAATACTTCGGTGACGTCTCAATGGCGAAATTGATTCACTGTGTGTGTTAAAGTGGTTATTCGCGGTATGCTGATAGAACTTGGGCTATTCTAATTCGAATGGTCAGCGAGTTGTTTCAGGGGGTTGTTTTAACCCTTTTGACACGGATTTTATCCGCATTAATCGGTCATTTGAATACAATTTAATGAAAAAGACGTTGTTTTATTTATAAAAATCATAATAAAGTTGATTTCTGGAATTAATAAATCAAGGGGGTACTTACCTAGTAGACAACAGTGCACGAAGACTTCTTGGTTATCTGATTCCATCCATGTGTGATGAACTCCGCAAATACCAATGACTCGAAAACGTAACGGTCGTAAATTCAAGCGTGAACACGTGTTTTATTATAATTAAACTCACTTTGAGCACTTTTACTACCGGACCTAGCTAAAGGTTTATTGTTTTCTTGTTTTGTACTTACTTACTGGTTTTGTAACGATTAATTTAACGACATCTTTCGGGACTTTATCTAAATTATTATATTGGTGATAATAGTTAATGTGATTCATTCATAGATGGGGTGACTTTTTAATGTATTAAAATTTAATTTTTTTAATTTTATACAATAAATTAAAGCTTAAATTATTTTTAAAATATATAAGTAGTATTTATTTAAAAGATAACAATTACAAAAAATTTTGATGATTCATCAAATTAATTAATTAATCATCTTGTTCTCTCCACTGATAAACTTACGAGATAAACTTGTTTTTTTTATTTATTAAAAAGAGCACACAAGTTGAATTTAAGGATTATAAATTAATAAACACCCATCTTATTACGTGAGTAACTGCAGGAAAACCAGGTTGTTTACCCCTAGAATTGTTAATCAAAGTGAAGGTAAGTGACGTTTCATTGACGTTTACATAACCTTGAAATTTGTTGTAAATCTTTATGTTGTAAATTCCGTGACTAACAATTAAAATAAGAACGTTTAATAACGGGATATTTGTGGCCCCTCTACACATCACCACGAAGAGAATGACAGGTCTCGTTCGTCTTTATTTTTAGAATCCATCGCATTTTTCAGGTTATCCCTTTATCTTAGGACCGTTATTGTTCTTTTAGGGCGCGTAATATGTCCAAGGAAAGCAAGCTTTTAAATTCATTATCACGCGCGTTTCCCGATGATCGACCTATCACTGCGTTACAAGTAATCAATTATATACATTTATTATTAGTTGTAGTTCTATAAAGTTTATTTTTAGATTATTGAATCTTTGGATAAGTGTCCAAACGGATTTTACCCCGTACATAGGACTTACGACCAAGACCAAGACGCCGATTTGTGGAGAGAAGGGTCGTTTATAAGAAAAAAAACGCGATACTTGTGTATTTCAAAAACTGAGGGTAACTTTATTTGAGGTTATGTTGATTTATTTTATATAAATAAAATTGCTTTTAGGTTCTCATAACTTAGTCTTAAAAGACTTGGTTGTTATAAACGAGAAATCAATTCCAACGGAAGGTTTTAGTTTGATTTCTCGTACAGCTGATTCTGAACAAAGAGCTTGGCGAAAAAAGCAGATAACCTATAAATTAGCGAATAAACGGTTTACTCAACAAGCCGTAACCGATATAATTGTTTGTAGCCGATTAAAAAAAGCACCGGACGGATTTTCATTTGCAGGTGAAATTAACGGGGTGATTGTTTGTTATAAAATGGGGAACGTTCAAGATGCCGAACGTAACTTGAGTGAAGTAACCCCTGCTATTGGACCTCCCCCCGCACGACCGCCGCGACATCATCAACCGGGGATTTACCCATCAATAGCTCAAAACAACGATGGAGATCATGATTATGAAATTTTAAATCCACCAGGTTATGTTCCAACAAGACCTGCACCTCAACCACCACCAGTTACTTCAGGTAATGGGGGGACGAGTAGTTTTCATGCCTTAGATGGTGTTCCATTTGTGCTCAATTCAAAACTAATGGGAACGGGAAATAATAATCAAGTAAGGTTTAATATAATTAAAAAAATAATTAAATTTAAATTAAACTAAATTTTTTAGGTTCAAATTCCGATTATTAAAGCTCGGACCATGCAACAATTATTGAGAGATTATGATTATCCTTTTACGGTTGAACGACAAACTTAATGACTGAAGAAGACAATTTATTAATTAATTAATGCCATTTTGTTTTGTGTTTATTATTTTTCTATAAAACATATTTACCATTTAATATTTAATGTTTAACATCACACCATATATTTTTATTATTAGTAACTATTATGTATTTTTTCTTTTGATAAGTGTCCGTATTTTTGATTCTATGTTTATCGCAAATAATTATGAGTACGCCAATTATATTTTTTTTAGTTTAGTGCCAACATATAAAATATGATACTCTATGTGATCTGTTTATTAAATAAAACCCCACAAAAAAATGATTATTTAAAAATGATTTATTTATTATTCTTAAAATCAGTATTTTTTTAAATTATACATAAAATTTCTGTATCACAGAGAAATAATAATTACATAGGATATAAAAAGGATTTAAAAACCGATAATTAAATTATTCTTAATATGATATGTACACTAATTCTTTTGCTGGGACCATGAAAGTGCTTCCCCAAGGTACAACTAGTATTAATTTTAATTAATTAAAAACTAATTAAAAAAAATCGATAATTAAATCTTTTTGATCGGTTCGCTTTAACGTCTTTGTTTAATTAAAGATCATCTCCGTCGCTTTTATTTGATGTCTTCTCTAAATCTCTCGAACCCGACGGATTTGGCATTCTTTGATAATGCGGTTTCCATGTACTTTGTGGTCGTGTGTAATCCAAATGATCATATAAATCTAAAAATGTAATTAATTAATATAATAATTATACCGGGAATTTCATATAACTCGCAATATATGAATGTAGTAACCATAGTTACGAAACTATTATGCACTTGCACTGTCCCACATAAAATGCAACATATAAGCTTTGTTCGTTGGGACTGCACTACTTGCACTAAGCAGTTTAGTGCATATGTTGTGTGTTCGTTGGGGATAGTGCAGTTTAGTGCAGTTGCACTTATACTGTTCGTTCGGCCATGTGCAGTACAATTTAGTGCAGATTTTGTTGCACCTGCTTTTGATTAAGTTCAATAAGTGCAGTTTAATGCAGTGTAACTAAAATGGCGGAATATTTGAAAGGGTGTTTTGTAATAATTAACATTAATATTAAATGTTAAGAAATAAAACCTTATAATAATTAATATTTGTTGTATTAGGGAACACAGTATATTCAACCCCAGTAGAGGCTGTAGAAAACTACCCCTACTTTTTTGGAATAATTTAAAAACTACCCTTTCGATTTTGGCTTCATTAAATACATTTATAGTACATTTAAAAATATTAATTATGTGTTTCTTCTCATTTAGGGGTGGCTGGGGTTAACTACCCTCACTACCCCAAATTTTTTTTTGTTGCAAGTACTGCTTATCGATTTTGGTGCAATTTAGCATGTGATTTCATAACTAATAAATAATAAGGGTTAGTAGTTTGGCGTAACAAATATATTTCGCTAATAATTGAAAAAAATAAAAATTAATGAATACTATAAAAACGCTTCCATAAAAAGCATTCTGCAATGATTTCATTTTCCACGAGTATTTCGCTGACAATCTCCTGTTCGTCCATTTCAAATATTATACACTTTTTTTATAAAAATCTGTTCGTTGGGACCACGCTTTATACACTTTTCTGACCTGCACTAAGTTGACATGACATTGCACTGACTTACACTTCATTGCACTATGACGTCATACGAGTGCCATGTCGTGCAGAGTAGTGCAGTCCCAACGAACAAAGCTATAGTAGACGCCACGAGAGCTGGCAGTAAATCATCGTTTTCCGCTCTTAGAAATGCCATACGTAGTTCACAAATCGATAGAGAGTAATGTATGTTAGAAAGAGATAGCATTAGTTTAATATGTCTGCTGTACAATTCAAATGGCCACGTCGAAAAAGTACGTCTGTTCTTCCAAGCATTCCAAGGGATGTAACTTTATAATTATAACCTCAAATTGAAACGTCTTGTGAGCGTTGTCATGAATCTGTTAGTGTTTTCACAAGCCGAAAATGTTTTCTTTGAAAGGAAAATCATTAAATAATATCTTTGACAATGTTTGACATATAATTTGTATTACTAACATAACCTACATTTAAATGTATGTGGTGAAATAATCTAAGTCGTACGTCCATATCTTGATTCATACCTTTGATTATATATAACATGGATTGAGCTAACTGAATATATCTACTAACAAAAATGTGGCTCAAGGTGAATTGACGCAGATGGAAAGCGATAATGTGAAAGTGTGACAAAGATAGACATAAAACGGTACTAAACAGACGGGCGCATGCGCACAAAAGTGTCAAACCTGACGTTTATCGTTTTGTTGTGTCACAGCCAGTCACACCGTTATGTTTAAAAATGTATTGTTTCGTGTGCAAAGTTCGCGATAATACAGTTTCACATCACCTGTAAGTATTATAAATAATAAGGAAATTTTATTTTATTTTATTTTTCTTTTTTCATTTATTAATTTTGTTTTAAATTTACCGCCAAAATTAACGCACGCCCATTATATGTCAGTAAGCTATCTCTCTCGTTGGCTCAATCCATATTATATATAATCCAAGATTCATACCATTTTTAAGCGATCTGTCACTGCCAGCTCTCGTGGTTTCTACTATAGCTTAATAGTAGAGGCTTTGGGTAGTTTTGCAAAGGAAAAGTTTTGCTTGGATAAAGGTAACGTCCTTATGATAACTTTATACTTACCTCTACCTACCTTTCTACTTCTATGTCTAGTGTTAATTCTAGTGATAGTGCAAAACCAGAACTAACACAAGACCTAGAACTAGAATCAATCGAGTTTAGCCGTCTTAAGAGACGTGCGGCTAAATCCGAATGTTTCTAGTTCTAGTGATAGTGCAAACCTAAAATATTTTAGCCACACGTCTCTCAAGACGGCTAAATCCAAATGGTTCTAGTTCTAGGTCTTGTGTCAGTTCTAGTTTTGCACTATCACTACAACTAACACTAGGCCTAGAAGTAGAAACATTTAGGTTTAGCTATCTATTTATGCACAGCTAAACGGAACTGTATTCCGCGTATTAATCTGTTATATCGAGATTTTACTACTCAAATTATATTGACATGTTGCATTTTTTTGTATATTGCTTAAGTATAATTTTTTTACCTAAATCTTTGCAGTCTTTTTGTTTAATTTCATCGTAAACGTGATCCAATTTATCAATACTCAAATAAATGTTTGGATTTGTTGCATCCGCATCTTTATTCTTTAGTGATTGCAATTCAGAGTTTTTATATTCTCCAGAATCCGATGAACATCCAGCCAACCCCAATCGTTGTCGTTCTAAAGTTGCGTTTGTCTCTTTGAATAAATTATTTCTAATTTGGGGGGAGTTATTTAATAATCTTAGATCGTCCCCTTTTGCATTTGTGTTTCCTTGATATGTATAAACGGGGTTATCGAAATGATTCCGATCCGTTGAGATACTTTGTTGATCCGCTATGTATTGAACGTGCGCTATTTCATTTTTCAAGTTATGTACGCGTTTTTTATAATAATACCATAACGCGAACAAGGTGCAAATGAAGATTACAACGATTACGAGGACGTAAGCTACAACGCTTCCGTAATTTGTTTCTCCTGGGTGTAAAATTGCTTTTGCAAGGGTGTCTTCGCAAGTGGGACCTGTTAAACCATGTCTACAAGTACAACCATTCACTGGGTGACAGATAAAGTTATCGCTTGGACATTCACAGGGGTTCATACAATGATCGCCGTAATATCCTTCAGGGCAAACTTAAAAAATAAAGAATTTTATTAGATTGAATTAATTTATTTTAATTATTTTTACTTTCAGTGCATTGACTCCCAGTCCATCCAGATAAACACCGACACACTCCATCATTTCCTCGACATTTTCCGTTTCGGCATTTACAATGTTGGGTACAATTCATTCCATAAAATCCAACAGGGCACGGGGTGGCGCAATTTTCTCCCACCCATCCAGGTAAACATTGGCACTGACCTAAATAAATTTTAATTTTAAAAACGATTAACAAATAAGTTACTAACTAACCGGTTACGTGATGGCAATCTGCTCCGTTTTTACAAGCACATTTTTCTTTGCAACTCCTCCCAAATGTACCCAACGGACAAGGATGTTCACATGTTAACCCAATGTAACCAGGTCTGCATGTATATTCTCCGGTGATGTGGTCACAAGTCCGATTTGAGATGGTATTTTCCGGGCAAATTTCGTTACATCCAACCCCGTAGAATCCTTCTTTGCAAGGTTCGCTACAATTATCACCTTGCCAACCTCTCGAACAAGTGCATTTCCCGGTTTCGGCGTCACACGAACTGTTATTAACACAATTACATTCTTGATCGCAATTGTGGCCGTACATTCCTGGTGGGCACTTAGTTTCACAAGTTATTCCTAAGAATTAAGATTAAATAACAATTAATTTTCATTAAAATTTAGAACAAACCTCTCCATGGTTGTTTACATATACATTTTCCACTAACAACATCACATCCCATACTATTAAATTCAACACAATTACAACTTTGAGCACAATTAATACCATATTGACCTGGAGGGCACTTTTCTTCGCAATTTATCCCGTGATAACCAGGTCCGCAAGTACAAGAACCTATAGATTAATTTATTAATTAATTCATAATTTTTTAATAAAATAAATTAAAACAATTTGGTTAATTAAGAAAAAAGCCATGCATAATTTTTGTGAAGCAAAACAAAATAGAAATCTACCATTTTGGGGATTACAAGCAGCCCCATTTTTACACGTGCAGTTTTGTAAACAATTCACACCATAAAACTGACCACTACAAGGACGATCGCAATATTGTCCCACCCAACCGGGTTTGCAAATACATTGTCCGGTTTCTGTTGAGCATGTTGCATCATTTTTACCTTAAAATAAATAAATTCAAATTAGATTTATTTTAGGGTCTGTTCAATCACGAATCTGTCACATCCAGGAAACTATCTAGTTCTAGTTTTTAGTTCAATAAAAATATACAATGAATTGAATAACAGATCTAGAATTAGAAAGTTTCGGGTTTAGCCATGCGTCTTCAGACACACAGAGAAACACTAAGCCTAGAATTAGAAGCATTCGGTCTTAAGAGGCCCGAATGTATCTTGTTCTAGGTTTGTATTTTAATTCTGATGTCATTTTCTGGATTATAGATAAGAATTATTTATATTTACAATTGCATTTGTTAGCGCAATCCTCCCCGAAAGTTCCTTCTGGGCAAATATCTCCGCAATCTGAACCTCGAAAACCCGACGCGCAAAGACAAGTTCCATTTATCGGTGAACACAAAGCGTTATTTTTGCATTTACAACTTCCCCTACATCCTTTTCCGAATGTAAGTAATGAGCATTGTCTTGTACAATCATCGCTGGTCCAACCCGGTTTGCAGTCGCATTTGCCACTCCATGGATGACAACTAAAATAAGTCAAATAATTTTTTTTTTAATATATAATATTATTAATTAAACCTTTCTGTGTTTTCTTGGGAACATTTGCAACTTCCTTCACATTTATCCCCGAAAAATTGTTCGGGGCAAATTCGTTTTGAGCAATCCTTTCCTGTCCAACCTTTTCCACACGTACAATTTCCATCGATATGCGAACAAGTAGCTTCATTTTTGCACGAACAATTTTGGGAACAATTTTCACCGTATTTTCCAACCGCGCAAACATCCAAACATTTCTTTCCAATATACCCAGGAGCACATTGACAAGTTCCATTTATATGATGACATCCAGCTCCGTTATAACACTCGCATTTCAACGCACAATTCTTTCCATAAAACCCAAACGGACAACGATTAGCACATGCTTGTCCCGTCCAACCGTCTTGACACTCACATCGTCCGGTTTCTGGGTCGCAAAGACCACCATTTTGACATTTGCAATCAGATTTACATTCTAAACCATGTTTCCCTGGCGGACATTGATCATCACAACTAAAAATAAACGTATTAAATTTAATAATTTATTTAATTTTGCGCTTACAGTGGTCCCGTCCATCCTGGTTCACATAAACATTCCCCAGAAACGTTATCGCAATCCCCTCGATCGCATCTACACACCTCAGCGCAATCTTGGCCGTAAGTTCCTGCAGGGCATTCTTCTTCGCAATAAGTTCCGGTGAATCCCCTCGAACATTTACACTCCCCATTATAAGGATCGCATTTCGCGTTGTTTTCGCAAAGACATTGTTGTTGACAATCGATTCCCCATAATCCATTAGGACAAGCTAAATTTAATACAAAAATTTAATTTTTTTTCTCTCAATTTGATTTTTAAAAAATTACAGATATCACATCTTGGCCCTCCAAAACCTTCAGCACATTGACATTCATTTGGAGCAACACAAGTTCCATGTTTGCATTCTTGCGAGCAAAGGGGAATACATTTTTCTTCGAGTTTATTTTCGGCATATCCTTGACAACATTCTTGAATTGGTCGAGTTTTGGTCAACGTTTGCGTTTTATAGATCACCTTGTGTTTGATTTTGTATTTTGAACATCGTGGTGGAACGTTTAAACACCAAACGTACTCGCGGACTTGATACGGTTGAGATTCCGATATCGTCACGTTTTGTGTGTAACTAAAAAAATAAAAAGTTAGAAATTAAAAAGAAAACTTTTAATTTGGAAAGGTTACGTTTCGTGTCTTGTACAAACGTTTGGACCCCATAAAGCTTCAATTGGCACTAAAATTGCGATTATAAATACTGCTGAGTACATTTTTGTAAAATAATCTTTCTTTTATAATTTATTGCTTAAATTATTGCTTCAAAAGTCTTCATAGTTTGTTGTTAAAACTTGTTTCTTTTTTTTTAAATTAATAATCTGCAACAAAGAAATATATGTTAATAAGTTATTTTATAAAACGATGGTGCCGGTTTAAATGATACCGAAATTATTATTAAAAAAACATTAAAGAATGTATCGCTAATAACTATGTATCGCTTCCTTTACTTCTTCCACGGTTATTGCTTGTTGACTCTCCGTTTCCAGAGGTTCTTGAGTTGTGTTTCTTGTCCTATTCTTCCTGCCTTGAGCTTACCGTGGTAATATTTGCTTCAGGTGTCCAGTATTTTGCTTTCCTCTATCGCCATATTTCCAACGTTGATTTGCCATATTTTCCCCATAGATGTTTAACTGTAGTCCTCTTATGGTTTATATTGTCTTTAAACATGACCTCTATTTTTTGTAATCTCTCTTGTAATAGTCTATTGTAGTTTTGGCATTTTGTCTGCTATTTCTGATTAGATTTTTTGTTCTTAGCATAACCCACAACAACAAAAGTGCGCCGCTAAAAGATTGCTAATTAAGTGATAAACCATACAAAGAAATAATTGTTTCGTTGTTGATATAGCATATCATCGTTATCGAAATAAGTTGAATATGTGTTTTGCAAATAGAGCAATATTTATTTCTTGTCGATCATAGCGTTTTATTTATTAAGCAATTGTGATGACTCAATTAAAACGATAACAATGCGTTTTATTATGACTAAGATATTTAATAAGAATATTTATAAAAAATTGGATTATTTAAAAACCACATTTATAGATTAATATCGTCCTGTGGTTTTCGGTAAAACTCCGACGTCAAAACTTATTTAATAAGGAAGTGGGTTATTAAAAATGATTTGATCTCAACGAGAGCGAACTAATCGAGAGGGAACAGTTTATCAACACACGCACATACGTATATGTGTGCGATGACACATGTGGTGAGAAAACATCTGTACATAAAATCAATTTTTAAGAGATGAATAAATAAATATTGCACTTTACGTAAATATTTGCGTATATGTCAAAAGAAAAAGTAGAAAGCTAAATATTGACGTTTTTTTTTTGCTATGCTCTTTGATGATGAAATAGGGGCACTTTCCCCTCTTTTATCAACGCTAATGAACACATGGCAAAAAGAGGAGGGTATTATTTGAAAAAGGCTCGGAGAAAACCGCACAGGAAATTTCGCATTTCCTGAATTACAAAAAATTTTTCCCAGCATGATGAAAAAATAATGACAAATTATTACCAACAATAAAAGAGAAAATAAAAAATGATATCAACAAGCTTTATAATTAATTAATCATTCTTTTACATGGTTTCTTTATGTCCATTATCTTATTTAAATTGACCTGAAAATAAAAGGAAAGTAAAAAGAACGGAGTAAACAAAGTCGAACCAAGTACAATCAGCAATAAAATTCTTGGAATAATTCAAAACACCGTTGAGTATTGCGTTTTTGCAAAAATGTTAACGTACCAGGTTCGAAGTCGGAAACAATGATCACTTTTAAACATTTAATGTATCATCCTACAAGGTCTTTGAAGTGAATCATACTTTTAAAACCGTATGTACTAAAATGTATATGAATATTAAACAGAAATACGGATGTTTAAACAAACTCAATTAAATATTTAGTTTATTTATTAATTTTATTGTTTTTAAAAATAGTTTTAGACTAGATAACGAGACAAAACAATGAGTTGAGATAATTTTTCTTCGCTTCCTGTGTATTCTAGATAAAAATTAATGTAACGATTCGATTATGTAAATATCTTGTTTTTATAATAAATTAGAAAGTGTTAATTTTTGTTTTGTGGCCAAGCTGGTTTTATTTTGTAAACTATTTTTGAATTGAAATAATATTTCCAATGGAAGTAAACAGAAAATTTGGCATCTCTAAAAACCTTGGCACGTTAACGGTTTCAACTGTTTAAAGTTCACTCAATTGAGTATTCAACATCTAACATAATTAACACTTTAAAAAACACTTCTTTGTTTTAAAAAATTTTAAAATATTATTTTTATTAACACAAAATTTCTTTTCTGAGGGAAAAAACCCTATTCCTAACAACATTTAATCTTTTAAAAAGAATAGATAGTCTTCTGAAAGCAATATCCAGTCTTTTGCAATCAATAGATAGTCATTTGCAAACAGTAACCAGTCTTCCATAGCTGTATTTAATGTTCTTCAAGCAGTATCTAGTCTTTTGCAAACAATAAGTAGTAATCTCCTTAGTAATTAATGACATTTGAAGAAACAATACTTTATTTTTTATCATTTTATCATTTCTTACACGTAACTCCTTTTACTGTGCGATGTGGCTCTTTTTGAGAACATTCTCTGACGATGTTCGATGAAATCATTTCCGGACGGAACTAGGCTTACCACCTAGGAGTCATCATGAAGTCTCAGTTAGTCATCATCGGCATCAAAACCGTGTATTTTACGCAAAGAAGATTTCAAAGATAGCGTCCATCTAAAAAGACTTTGAAGCATATTTGCATGAACAGAAGAAAAGTATTATATTATAATTATAACACAGACAATCTTATCTCTTCCCGATAATGTCTAAGCTTACGAATAAATAAACAAGAAAATCATGTCATTCTAACCTTTTTATTTTGAGCTGCAAAACATGAGTTGATTTACAAAGAGGTCATTGACAGGGGGCAGTTAAAATTAGAAATTATTTAAAGTATTCGTTTAAAATTAAATTTTATAAAAGAATCAGATTAATTTGAACGATAATAATTAATTAATCATTTTGGCAAGGTGATAAGATATTAATTTCGTCAAAAATTTGAATCATTTTTAATTCTAGTATTAGAAATAAATAGTGTAATTACAAACTGGATAAAGATAGAGGGGATTGAGTAACTTAGGTTGTGGTCGACCTTGTAAAATGAGAATGAGGAAATGGTTTTTTTATAAAGACTTCATTGCAAGATTTAACCAAGAATGAGCCCGAAAAATTTGAAAAATTTTTAATAAAAGAATTTAAGAATTAAATTTTTAAATACTTTTATTTTTTAAAGCATGAAAATGACCTTACTCATACAACTTATCACGTTCGAAACATCGACAAAAAAATTACAATCTTAACATATTTCCGAAACGTGCGTCACAAACGTTTAAAATTCTTCAAAAAGCACCGTTATAACATAGTTTTTAAAGATCCATTTTAGTTCCACTTTAACCTTTTTGTTAACACTTAAAAATAATAAAACTAAATAAATCTAAACTAAAAAGAAAGTTATTAAAATGAGACTAAAGTAGGTTATGTATTTTTATTGGGGTTATGTTTATTAAAGAGGGAACAAACGAACAACTGTGTCGACCCGCTTTTGTTTCTCACTCGAAATTAAGCCTAATTGAATTAAATACGGTTCAAGACACCGAATAACACCATCACAGCCTAAACGAGCCAAAAATACACCGAAAACAACCCACTTTTTTATTCGGGATTTATGAAAAAAAACTTGTAGAATGTGACCGGATTTTTTAAACTCAATAAGAAGCTGTCAACAACACAAACAGTTTTGTGGCGTTTTGTAAAATATATATATATTGAGAAAATCTTACCTTATTTATTGATTTTAATTAATTAATCCGATATTACACTTTAAAACTCAACACAAAAAAATAAACAAAGACGCGATCTTTTTTTTTTTGATTGTTTTTACATTGATATCATGCATACGCGCGCTAAGATTGTTTTCCATCGACTGCGTCGCTTAAAAGTGTATTTCAAGTAGCTAAACCCTAAACATACTACATAATTCGGATTGTGAATCATAGATGCCGCTGAAATAAATTTAATTAATTTTTGTTTATTTTAATCAATAATTATTTTAATTAAGAATTAAATAATAATTAAATGAATTTTTTTATTATTATGAATAAACAAAGTTATAAGAATGTTTAAATAAGAAGAATTCTTTAATTGAAATATTGATCCAATAATAGATGGCGGTAATTAATTTAAAAAATTAAACAAGAATTTATTTTGTTAATTTAATTTAAGTAATTTAAACTAATTTATTGTATGAAAAATTATATTTCGTCATATCACATTAAAATTTTACACTTACCACATGTAGCTATCATGTACAACAACATGTACAATAATAATTTTTAATAATTAATTATCCGATCGGAATAACATCACACATATTTTTTTTTATTATTTTACCATAATTTTATAAATTTGACGTAATTGTGTATAAATTCTCATATTATGTAATATATATTTATTATGTTTATGTACGTTAATTTTTAATAATTGTTTTAAATTTTCTTATTTTGCGTTAATTTTTTATTAATAATTCGCCTTTAATTTATTTAATCGTATTGTTCGTGTGTATATAGATAAACTATTATACATATATGATTTTATTTTTTTTTTATTAACAACCATAAATAAATACAGCCATAATTATAAACTTTTAAAATTATTTATAGCAATTCCTTGTTATAATTACGGCTGTAACTATTATAAATCGAATTTATTTAAATTCATCAACAAAATTGTAATATTTTTTTGGTTCCTTTTAAAAATTTTTATTAATATTTCCCAAAATCATCAAAATATTGACCTCGAAGCGCACTTTGAAGTTTTAATCGTTTTAATTAATTAACAAAACCCGTATTTTATTTAAAATTTTGTTCAGACTAAAACTTTTTTTGCTACATTTTAGGACGGTTAACGCCTAATTAATTAAATTAATTTTTTTAACAAGTCGTTCTTTTTATTTTCGGCTGAGTAATTAAATTGTGTTCTTCACAAGTGTCATCGGAATCGGTTGAATCCGCATCGGCCACAGCGACGACGTGGTAGTTGCAAGTTATTTTTGGTTTTTTAATCGAAACTCGACTATAACCTTTTCTTCTTGATTGCGCACTATTTCTCTGTTTGCAAAATAGAGTTAAAATTATTAATTCAAAGAAAAAGTATACATACCTGTAAAACTAAAAAGATAATCATAAATAAAATTATGATACACAAACACGCGATTGCTGCTAATCCCGTAACGAATCCGAATGGATTTACAAGTTCCAAAGCGGAAACATCTTGAGCGGATACTACATAAGTTTCCAGGTTAATTTTTCTTTTATCGGTTTGAGTTTCGCAACCTAAAAGCAACAAAAAAATTGTTTAATTAAAATTAAAAGATATAGATTTTTGAATTGTTAACCGGGACAATTAGAACAAGCGACATGACATTTTTGGCACCCATATTCCGTTTTATAATATCCTTCCAAACAATCCGGGCGACATTCACCGGATATAAGCTGCCAACCATATGGACATGTGATACATTGATTATAATCCCGGCCTAAACATGTGTCACAACTCATGTAACATCTTTCGCAAACTCCTTTTTCTTCGTAGTAACCCCTTGAACAAGTCGATAAACACTCCCCATTTTGAAGCTACGAATTAAATCGTTTAATTTTAAATAATTAATTAATTATTGTGTTACTTGTAACCCGGTTGTGCATAAAGTACAATTCGATTTTGATTCGCACTCCGAACAAGTGTGAAGACACGGAATGCACCACCGAAGAATTTTATCCTGGAAAAATCCGCTATCGCAAGTTGATACGCATTTAGTACCTTGGAGAATGAAAGGTTGCGAGCAAGATAAACAAGCGTGAGCTGTTGGGCCATCGCAAGTTTCGCAAGTTGAGTGGCAGGGTTTACAACTTCCCCCATCGTTGTATTGATCTAAACAAAATCATTTTTAATAATTTTTTTAAATAAACGCAAATAATTTACCACTATCGCATCGGTCGCTATCATGTGGAACACATCTCCCGTTTGTATTAATTTGCCAATCTTCTAAACACGATAAACAAGTTGTTTTATTACATTCCGAACACCCAGGTGAGCATTCAATACATTCCCGTTGGTTAGGATCTCCATAATGATGAGCCGGACAATCGTTAACGCAACGCCCGTCATGCCAAAATTTCCCCTCGTTACAAGAAATACATTGGGAACTATTTAAACCATGGCAAGTCTCGCAAGATTGATGACACAACCCACAACTTAAAATTTAAAATTACATCAAAATTGATATCAAATTGATATGATTAAAACCTGTGATCGTCCGTTTGAAAGGTATTCGCGGGACAACTTCCCATGCATTTATTTCCGAATAAAATGAGATTATAATCACATCTTATGCAACTATCAGGTCTTCCTTCACAACTGGCGCAATTAGGTTGACAAGAAATGCAAATTTTTTCGTTTAAATCTTCGAAATAACCATCCGGGCATTGTTGGATACATATTTCTAAATCGATAACTAATAAATATCCGGGTGAACAAGTTTGGCAACTATCTTGAGTTGGTCCGGTGCATGTAAAACAAGATTCATGACACGGATTACAAAAACCATCGTTGTTTGCGTATGTTCTAGGCGGGCACACACTCACACAAGTCCTAAAAAAAATTAAATCAATTCAAGCACATAAACAATTAACATTAAATACTTATTAATTCGTTTATTTCTACATGATATACATTTATTAGGTCCACGTCCAAAACATCCTTGTTCATCACATTGTTCGTGGCAACTACTTCTAATCTCGCCATTTTTGCTTTTAATATGAATAACATTAATTGAATTCTCCCTTTCATTCCCATTAAAATATTTATCCTGCCTAAATTCTTTGGTATTATAATAATTGTCTTTTAAATAATTCCGATTCACATAGTAAGGTTGGATTTTATTCCTTTCATCGTTTCCATTTACATTTTTATTTTTAACTCGAACCGGATTCATTTGAGTTCCGTATAAAATCAATTGCCACTTTTTAAAAACTCCGGCTCGATCGGTTAATTTATTCCCCGAATTAATAACCTGTAAAGTCCATCTTCCCAATGCTTGTTCACCCCAAAAATGAACGCTTAAAAACGGCCAATCATCGAAGGTTGATGATACGATATCCCTCGGTCTTTCAAATAATAAAATTGACGTTGTTCCCATTGGGGATGTTAATAAAATTTTTAAATTTCCCCTCGGAAAAAAATTTAAAGATACTTTACACTGAACGTGTTCTAAATATCTCACTTCGTTTAATGTTCCTTTACAAGCGTTAACATCCATATGAAGTGTTAAAGTTGATTTTAACGTTGATTCAATGGGTTTATCTTCAATTAATTCTTGGCTTTTACAAATATGTTGTTGAGGAGCTGTTGTCCAAATTTCAGCTAAGTTTACTAAAGCTCCAGCGTCCATTAAACCATAACCAAATTTATGACTCACTTTTCGTTTAACCCCATTCGTTATCCAACCAGGTTCTTTTTCTAACGGAGTAGATCGAGATGTTAACAAAACTAAATACTGAATATCTCTCCAAGTCAATGTTGGGTTAGCTTCTAAAGCTAACGCACAAATTCCCGCAGCTAAAGGAGCCGAAGCTGATGTTCCTGTATGATCTTCCGTACACATATGATCCGGTCTTAGCCTAGGATCCATATCAACGGTTACAATACTTTTATCTCTACCAGGTGTTCCTGAACTATAAGTTGTCGCTAATGTTGAGGAACATTCTTCTAAATACCAAGGTTTATAACTAAAAAAAAAAGATTTTATAAAAATAATACTTTAGATTAGGTACTTAGAGTTTACCCTTCTTGAGTAGCGCTCGATATACTTAAAGTAAAAATACTATTTGTGTAACCGTCACAATTACAAGAATCGATGTGTCTACCTCCGTTTCCGGAGGCCCACACGAAAATTGAACCTTTCCCTTTCCTTCCGCTTGTTACGCCATAAATAAAAGCACGTTTTGCTAAAGGACCGGGTCCGTCGACGGTCTTTCCATCGTCTTCTGGGCCCCAAGATGCGCTGTAAATGTCGATATGTTCCGGATTAAGACCTAAAGCTTTCGCTTCAACCGCATCGTTAACTACACCATCCAGCATTCTTACACCTTGAAGATTTAAATATATTCAATTAATATTAAATAACAATTTATTTATATAGTTCATTTTTTTCTATAATACCTGTCAAATGGGGTCATACACACTTATTAAATTTAGAGAAAATTTTTATGTCAAACGATATATGCAAGTATATGCATGAACACAAAGTAAAAGAAATATTTTGATTAATTTTATATTTTGCGTAATTTGAAGTGAAAAATAGCAAATATTCAAACGAAATAAACCGCACTACCTAAAACAAGTTAAATTGTCCGTTAGATAGCGCTTGCGGTGTGACAGTGTCAAAATAAAACCATGGATGTAATAGAGTGTCTCTATTACATCCATGAACAAAACATAATAAACATAACCTACAAACACTCTATCTCTTTTCAATACAACCTAAATGACGTTCATCTCTTTCTCGCATTTGAGCGGGTAGCAGGGGACGCAAAAATGAGAATCGTACGTCATCAACGCGGGAATTTTAAAAGCGCAAATGGTTATATAAATTTTCAATAATTTTTTTAACAATGACTTTGTTCGAAAATATTAAAAAAAAAAAATAACGGTAACTATATTTTTATATAAACTTTCAGAAAATATAATAAAAAAAAAATCGTGTATGACCCCATTGTTGTAAAGTTGGCAAAATTAACAGGGAGTTTTGTTTTATCATGTTTTGAAGTAAATATGTCACATTGACGTTTGAGCTTTCGTTATTCAAAAAGAAAAGGTGCATAAAAAGTGTTGTGGGGTGTTTATTTGCCATTTACTTACCTAGAAAAGGTATTTTATTCTATTTAATTACTTTGTAGTACGTTTTTATAACAAATATGTACTTCGTCAAAATCGTATTTATATAAAAATTTATTAGTATTTTAACCTCAACTAATTAGTTACTGACAATGTTACTAAAAATCATGAAAACAACATAAATTTTATAAGGGTCCTAGATAATACCAACAGAAACCCTAAATAATTTACATTGACAAGTATTATTGAATTATAAAGAACATGAACATAAAAGAAAAGTTATGAGTTTCAAACAGAAAAGAATGAGACTTGGGATTGGGAGCTTGATGATTTTAGTAAAGTATCACAAAACCGGAATCAAAATGAATGAATTAGAATTTGATCCAAATTTAAAATTTAAACATCTCCCCATAAAAAAAGTTATAAACAAGAAACTTATTACTAGAAATTCTCTTCAAAATATATATGACTCTAAGCTTTTAAAATGGAAATAAACGTATTTATTAAACTTATCATTTATCACTTATCATATTTCCAAGTTTTCCTACGTTTTCCTTTAATATATCTGTTGTATTTAACTAAGAAAATTCGTTATTAATCAATTTTCATCTTGTTTATGGTTATTTGATGAAGTTTAAATCATTGCTTAAAGGACACCAAGAAAATTAATAATAAGTAAAAGAAAAGATAATAAAGAAACTTATTTTTTATATACCTCCAATACTAGCATTATAAGCAACTCCAATCCCACAATATTGATTAAAAGCAACAGCTGCAACCTCCCCGGCACATCTTGTCCCATGTTTGTTATCACCATTATCTTGAGGAGTTGGATCATCATCATTTCCATTTATATCCGTGCTAGCTAAAGGATCCTTAAAATCAAAAATTAAAAAAATTAATCAATCAAATAAAAAATAAATCCTCATTACATAATTTTGAGCTAAATCCGGATGATTCGTTTGGATGCCATCATCAAGAATGGAAACGACAACCCCTTTTCCGGTGTATCCTTTCTTCCAAGCCTTTCCCACGTTCATATCGAGACCGTCTTTGGCACCAGAATTCTATTAATTATTTCAAAAGGAAGAATGAAAATATTTAAAAAGAAAAATAAACGATTTCTCTCACCAGGTACCATTGTTCCGGAAATAAAGGATCGGGAAACGTATCTATGGTAGAAGCAGCTCGGATGGAGTGACCCAATTTAGTTGGTGGTGAAATAGTTGTCATTGACGACGACCTCGACCGTTCAGAAGTGACCACATCTCTTTTGTACCGTTTCTTTTCGTGTTGTTGTTCAAACCATTTGATCTAATAATAAAAAGAAATTTAATTACATATTTTGTGCTATATCTTTTAAAGTAGAGTACAATTTATTTTTCCGGGTTCGTAAAGCATTACAACCTAGGCGGGACGTCGTATATTTTCCGACCGTTTAACTAATTGCGCGATTACTGGAAAAAGGACCACCCCGGAAGAGTAATCCTGTTTATGCATTAAGGAATGGCATCCTGGTAATTGCTTCAATCACTCTTTCTTTTCGATTTAAATTACGTTCTAATAAAACAGAATTATTTTATTTTTACCTCGGTTTCTTTTGAAAGTAGCCGTTGATGTCCATCGTGGGGTTGTGTTGATCGTTTGTTAACACGTTCGTGCTCGAATAAAAAAAATCCTTTCAAACTGCCGATCTAAAATAAGATAAATCCGATCAATTGAGGTAATTTAGCGAGTGCAAACTCTTAAAAGCGTCAACCCGATACAAAGGAAAATGTAATTTGTTTAAAAAATTTTCAATAAAAATCAATTTACCTGCCCAGTATTAATAAACCCATATTTTCTTGCGATTTCATTAGCTTCTTCTTCACCTTTCGGAACATGAACGGCAAATTGATTTGTGTAAATTACTTCAGGCGTGACCAAATGTAATAAAAACAGGAGGAAATACCACATCTCCATTGTTAAGACTTTTTCTAACCTTCCCTTTAACATTAAAAACAATTTCTACCACAATAAAAATTAAATTAATACCAAAAAATCCACTCACAAAAATTATAAATTCAAGAAGAAAAACAGTTTTAATTGATTAACGTTTCAGTAACGTTCTCTCACTGGGGAAAAAAAGGTGGGGATCTCCGCCTGAAAAAAACACTTTCAGGATGTTTCCCCGATGTTCTTACGCGAAGATTATAGATTATAGAAGAAGGTCGTAAAAGTTTTTTGTTTCTACCGGAACCCGTTCACATTTTGTGAGTATACGTTTCGGTTTGTAACCGACGTTTGTTGAATAAAAAGACGCCTCATTGTCTTTCGCGGGATTTCGCGTCGACTGACGTCGCGACGCTTGAAAATCTACCACCGTACCCGATAGGGGAAGGGCCGGACGCCCCAAATGCGCACGCGTTTCAACCCCAAACAAAAAGGTTCAACCTCAATTTATTAGGTCAATTATTTCATCTTAATTTTGTTGCATTTTTATTTTTAATTGGAATTATTCAAAAAATGTGTTTGAAAATTTCGAATCCTTATTCTTCTTGTCGATCTCTTCGTTTTAGCAAATCTGTAATCATTCTTCAACTAGTTTTCAATGATTTTGAACAACTTGGAATAACAGTGAATCAGTTTTCAGTCTTTTAGACAAGTTTCCAAAAGTAACCATTCGTTTTTTCATCATTTTGATCAATTTTGCGAAGCTGAGATCTTATTTCAACCAGTTTTTAATGATTTTAAATAACATTCAAGTAACTTAGCCAAGTTTCCAACCATTTTGAACAATTTTGCAACTATATCTCAATATATGATTTAAATTTATAAAACGGATATAAAATGATTTTTGATTATTTGAAATAAAAATTGGTGAGATTCAATGACAATGATGTTACAAAGAAACAACAAAATTTATTGTAAACCCATAAAGCAATTTAATCTACTTGATAAAGTCATTAAACGATAAAATTTTTTGTATTAATCTTTTTCAATAAAAAGATAAAAACCATCAAATTTTCCTTTCATTTTTATTTCGAGTTTCCGAATAAAAAGAAATATGGATATAAGACCGCTTTCTCCGGAATTGCAAGCGAAAGCCATTGCTGAACTTAACGAAGATCCAAAAAGAATTCCTGAGGACATCAAATACATCAAAGAATGGCTTTTAAAACAACCTCATTTAAAACCGAGAACGGGTTGGTTAATTTTTATTAAAAAAAAATTTAATTATTAACTTATTTGTTTTGTTCAAAGACGACCAATTTATTTTAACGTTCCTAAGAGGATGTAAGTTTAGTTTGGAAAGAACCAAAGAGAAACTTGAAACTTATTTTACGATGCGTTCCCTTCTTCCGGAATACTTCAAAAACCGTGATCCTTTCGATCCAAAAATGCAGGAACTTTTGAAAGCTGGTACATATTTGCCGTTGAAAAGCTCTGGGCCTGATACACCAAAAGGATTTTTAATGAGTTTCAAAAATTGGGATATGAGTACAACGAGTATGTCGGATTTAATGAAATTAACCTATATGATTATGGACATTGTAATTAACGAAGACGATCAAGCTGTAATTGCGGGAATAATAGCTTTACAAGATGGAACAGGAATTGAAATGAAACATATGATGGCAATGACTCCGAGTTTGGTGAAGAAAAGTGCGATGTTGTTCCAAGATGCGTATCCAAATCGACCAAAAGCTATGCATTATTTCAATCCCCCATCGTTTATCGAAACCATTTTTAACTTATTTAAGCCATTTATGAAAGAAAAATTAATGAAAAGGGTATGAAAAATAAAAAAATTATTGTATTTACTTAATTTTAAATTTTATAGTGGCATATACACAATACGAAAAACATTAATGATATGTACGAATTTTTTCCAAAATCAATTTTACCTGAAGAGTATGGAGGTGATGCTGGCAAAATACAAGAAATTATTGGTGAGTTTAATTACTTCATTTACGTAATAGTTTATTAATTATTCTTATTGTAGATTATTGGAAGAACAAAGTTGAAAGTTACGCTGATTGGTACAAAGACGATGAGAAGTATGGTTGTGATGAATCAAAACGTCCTGGAAAACCGAAAACTTCAGCAGAACTCTTTGGAATTGAAGGTTCATTTAGAAAACTCAATGTGGATTAATTTTAAAATAAAAATTGATTAAAACTTTAAAGTTGTTTATCTTTCAAATTAAAAAGTGAGGTTATGTTAACTCTAACATAGGTTAGGTTAAAAATGCGAAAATTTTATTTTCTATTTTATTTATTGCATACATTAATACATTTTGTGGTAAAAAATCGAAAAATGAACCGCAATTGGCTAAAAAGTATGCTAGGGGCTTCTTCGAGGCTAAATTGCAAACGATATTCGATAAAAGGAAGATAAGTGAGGTTATGTTAGCTCTAACATAGGTTAGGTTAAAAATGCGAAAATTTAATTTTTATTTTATTTATTACATACATTAATACATTTTGTGGTAAAAAATCGAAAAATGAACCGCAATTGGCTAAAAATGGCCTTCTTTGAGGCTAAATTGCAAACGATATTCGATAAAAGAAAGATAAGTGAGGTTATGTTAAATGATAATATAAATCCCAACAATAAGTATTTTTAATTTTAAAAGTTTATAAGTCCATTATTTTTTGGAACAATCATTGAAGTGTAAAGATAAGAATAAATCCATCAAATAAAATTATCAAAAAGTCTCTTATTGAAAATCCATCGATAAAGCACAAAATAAAAAGATTTAGTTATCTACACCATGATAAAACGATAAAATCTACAAAAACACTTTCAATTAGTTAGCATTTAGTTACCAACCAATATTGCATCATGTCTATAAGACAACTTTCTCCGGAATTACAAGCGAAAGCAATCGCTGAATTAAATGAAGACCCAAAAAGAATTCCTGAAGATATCAAATCCATCAAAGATTGGCTTTCAAAGCAACCCCATTTGAAAGCAAGAACAGGTAAACTAAAACAAAAAATTAAGATGATTTTGGTGATTTTTATTGTTTTTAGATGATCAATTTATTTTAACGTTCCTCCGAGGATGTAAATTTAGTTTGGAAAGAACCAAAGAAAAACTTGAAACTTATTACACAATGAGAACTCTTTTACCCGAATTTTTTAAAAACAGGAATCCTTTTGATCCGAAAATGCAAGCAATTTTAAAAGCGGGGTAAAAAAATTAATTGGTAAAATCATTTTAATTTAAAAAAAAATTTTTTAGAACATATCTTCCTTTAAATGCAGCTAGTGCAGATTCACCAAAAGGAATGTTGATGAGAGCCGAAGGTTGGGATTTAAACGCTTACACCATGGTTGATATCATGAAATTGAACTACATGATTATGGACATCATTGTAAATGAAGATGATCACGCCCTTATAGCCGGAGTGATTGCTTTGCAAGATGGAACTGGAATCGAAATGAAACATATGTTACAAATGACACCGAGCATGATGAAAAAGAGTTCGATGTTATTCCAAGAAGCTTATCCAAATCGCCCAAAAGCTATGCATTATTTCAATCCACCTTCGTTCATTGAAACAATGATGAACATGTTTAAACCGTTTTTAAAGGAAAAAATGGTTAAGAGGGTAATACTTTTAATTGTTTAATTTTAACGATTATTAAATTAATCTTTTTAAGTTTCATATTCACAACACCAAAAACATTAATGATATGTATGAATTCTTCCCCAAATCGATTTTACCAGAGGAATATGGAGGAGATGCTGGAAAATTGCAAGATATTATCAGTAGGTTATAAAAGTTATAATAGGTGTATTGAAGTTAATAAGTTTTTTTGTAGGTTATTGGAAAAGTAAAGTCGAAAGCTACGCCGAGTGGTATAAGGAAGACGAGAAATACGGTACTGATGAGTCTAAACGTCTTGGAAAACCAAAAACATCAGCTGATCTTTTTGGAATCGAAGGTTCTTTTAGAAAACTTGATGTTGATTAAGTGAAATTAATAAAATTATTTTTTTACAACCCATGTTACCGTAGTGATTATTTGGTTGCCTAAGTTGCTTTACAAGAGATAAGAATTATGCTATAAAATTTATCAATAAAGTTTTGATACAATTTAAAATAAGCTAGTCATTACAGAATTATTGACATTAAGCAATAGCTTTTATTGAATGATGATCTGGAACATATTTCACAATATAACAAAGAACTTAACTTCCCAACTTGCAAACTTTTACCCCTTTTTTGTGTTTTAAAACAACGTTTCAGGCAGAAACAATTTTAACAATTTTATTCATCAAAGTAACGACAAACGATAACAATTTTATCAATAAATTTAATTTTAATTTAGTTTATTAGATTTTCATCTCTTTCTAAATGAGTTTTAATATGAGAACACAAGTGGGGTTGTTGCTTAAATTGTTTTAAACAAATTGGACATTGGTATTTTTTCGCAACTTGATGAAACAATTCGTGCTGTTTCAAAGAACAGTTCCATTTTGTTGTAAATGGGCATTTTACGCACTTATATTTTTTTTTATTTTCCTGGATTACTTTATCTTTTGAAATATCACCTAAAAAGACACGAATTAAAACAATAATTTTTTTATATCATCCCATAAACTTACTTTGTACCGTTTCTTGAAACGTAATTTCATTTTCAAATTCATCTAAATCGGCATTTGAGGTTATGTTTGTTTCTTTGCAACAAATTAATCTATTATTTATATCGATAATAGCGTGGGGATTTCTTTTAAAACACCCAATATGATAAATTGAATCGCATATGAAACATTTTAAGTAAATTTTAACCTTTTTTGAACACACTTTGCAGTATTTCAAAATTTCTGACATTTTCGCTACCTACCGAGAAAAAAAATAACCTAAAAATTATTAATTTTGGATTTTTAATTATCTTAATTAGTATTAAAAATAATTGTTGATTTACTTTAAAATGTGTTTATTTATTTTTTAAAAAAGAATTAAATTTGAAGAAAAAATTGTTGAGAAATTTGGAATAATTTTTGGCGGTAAATTTGAAAACGATTTTAAATAAAACCACTTTAAATATATATTTGTAGGTTTTCTGTTTATTACACTTGTTGACTATACACTTGTTCACAGTTACTAGTCTCGTTATAATGGTAAAAAATTATTTTTGTTATTTTCATCACGGTCTCGGTCTCCGGTTTACATTTTAAGGCACATCGATCGAATTTACATACACAAACATCTTATCATATTATTATTACATTATTATTATCGCTTATTATTCACAATACGACAACGTAAACGTGTAACTGAAAGATCTAATGAGTTAAAATATAATAATAAGGAACAAGAATAGCACATTTCGTTTACACAAGTTATTTTTCATTTTATTTTTTTTTTTTAATTATTTACACAGCTTTATTTAATTTAAGTACTAGGAATACATATACAAGTCTGTCTTAATCAATAAGTCCATTACAAATGCTTAATAAATTCGTCTTTATTTCAAAATTGTTGAAAGGATTTTTATTAAACAATATTTCAATAAATAAAAAAGAAAATATTTACATTAAAGAAAAAATCGGGATTAATTATAAAAAAAATTGAGCAAAAACCAAAAAAAAAATAGGAATTCGTTGAAAGAAATTACTCTTGGCACAAAAAAAAGAAACATAACCTAAAAAAAATGATCGAAACTCATTTTGTTGAATATTTACACAGCACAGCCCTTTCGAACGCCGTAAATAACCTTCAATTCCGGATAAATAATCTTGTTGATCAACTGATTTGTCTTCGCCGATAAAAGAAGTCTTTTCGAATCCTTTTTGTAGACTTTAATTCCAGGCCGATGAACCAAAAACGCATTATCCAATATCATAAAATCATAATTTAACACGCACAATGCATAACCCTACGATTAAAAAGAATTGTATTGAATTTTATAACGTTTATTCATTTTTGTTTAATTACCTGAGTCATTTTATCTCTTTTCCCTTCCCAACTTAACCTCTCATCGTAAAGTGGATCATTATGTGTTCCAATGAAGATCGGCTCCCAATGTACAAATTTCCCTGTACGTTTCCCCACGTGAAATACATGTAATCCATCAGTTTCATTAGCTGTTTGCCATTCTTTTGATTTTGGTACATTATGACACAGCGGACAAAGTTTTTTATGAAACGGCAAAGCCATCGAATTTTTTAACATATCTTGTAGCTGAGTTTTGTTCTCTGGAACAACTTGATTCGCTCCGACTTCAAAAAGATGAAGTGTAAACACTTTCAGATTTGTCTGTTGTAATAGATCTTTATCAAAAGCAATCATTTCTAAGAAACTCTTAATTATATTTTTACTCGGATACAATTCAATATCGGAAGCAAGAATGAAATGCGTTTCCGCACTCTCCCTCGCGATATTTCTACCAACATTGACGGGATAAAGTAATTTCTTTTGAGTCTTATACATTTGTTCGTTGGAAACATTAAAGAAAGGGGCTGGTAAGCTACAATTAAACGGCTCAGTTAACAAATTCTCAACCTTTGGGATCTCACTGGGAATGTGTTTTGTACTAAAATAAATGTGAAACGTGACGTATCTTTTAATTTCATCTTTGGTACAATCTCGTAAGTATCTAATTGAATCTAACGTTGGCTTAAAATCGCTTCCAGGGGCATGCAAAGCAATACTAATAGGTCCAGACCAACGTTCCGCCAGCGGAACCAAATTATCCAAGAAAGAATAATCTGCGTGGGTCGTGTATGTAACGCTCGTATGACACTCATAACTCTCATCTGCTTGTACGTAATTATACAAAACCCAATAATCGCCCCTTTGTTGTCTCGAGACACGTTTTGGCCGATCAACACATTTCAAACCATTTTTTAATATCATTTCAGCCTCATCCCATTTCGATATTGTTGTTGTTTCTATATAGGTTTTTTGTTGTGGTTCGGTTATTTGTTGAGTTGATTGTGTTGGAGAACCCGTTTGTAGAGATTCCGTTGGTGTTTTCTGTTGAGGGGTTTCTAGTTTGGTTATGATTCTCTAAAATAAGGAAAAGATTTATGATTTATTATTAATGTCAAAAAGTAGGCAACCAACATTGCTTTTTCTCTTTTTTGATTAAATAAACGAAAGAAAGTTTTAATGTTAAAATCATAAATTATGAATTGGAAGGTAAATTTTGCCGCATTGCTACAAATTTTTCCATCCTTTTTAACATTTTGGCAACAACCCAATACTGCAAATTAGTCAATAACAGAAAGGATATAAATTATTTATTTAACCTTTAGGCCTAAATTTAAATACCTATATTGGGATCTAAAAACAAACACCTTTTCATGTAAAGCTAAACACACTAATGATTATATATAATCAATAACTTACATCAGTTATTGTTTGTGTTTGATCAATAGCAGCTAGGTTCCTTCCGCTTTGTTGTAAAGTCCTGATTACTCCGGAAGTACCCGATGACGTCACTACGTACACGAAGAAGTAACCCGCGAGAAGGATGACGCAGCATTTAGCCACAAAAAGTCGTTTATTAACAATCATCATCATCGCAGTTGTTTCTTTGAAATTAGATTCCGAAAATTGTTAAAACTATTAATACAGTTGGTATGTTTGTTCCTACGGCAGATTTACTTTGTTCTGTTGCTTTTTGGGGCCTCCTTTTTCTGCCCGGCGGTCTTAATTTGAGGTAGTTTTTAACGAGGCTAGTCATCGACGCGAAAACTCATATGGTGGATGTTGATGCTGATGTTTTTAAATGAATATAGTCGTGGGTTTTCATTTTGAAGTGGGTTTCTTTATGTATTTAATCTTCTGGAAGAAAAAAAATTAAAAAAATACATAAGATTAATGTAACAATTTTATCAAAAATTATATAGAAAAACAAAAAACAAAGTGATTTTAGTTGAATGAATAGAGAATTCATAATCAAGTTTAAGAAATCCTTGGGAATTTAATTAAAGGTTTCTAAACACAAAAATAAACGTATGATGCAAGCGAAATACGCAATGAAAAAAAAGGATTATTGAATTATCGTCGCTAAGTACTTAAGTACCATTTTTAACTTGGCTCGATTTAAATGAGGCTCTAAAAAACGTCGATATTCGAATAACACACATGACACAAAATAAAATTATCCAATTATGCTTGACCTCGGGGGGAAGACCCCGACCAAACTTCCAAAGCACGTGGAAAACGTACACAGAATAAATAGTATTTTAAGTTTCGAAAAGAAGGTCTTCTTTGAATCAAACAAAAAAAATAGGATAAAAGGAGTGGTTCAAGAACGTTAATTCTTGTAACTTTAACGTCATAGGTCGCATGGAATTTGAATAAAACGTTTACGGTTGTAAATCAATCGTGAGAAGAAGAAGACGACGAGAAGCGTTAAAATTTTTCGAAGTCAACGAACGTAGTAGACTTCGTGGAAGAAGAGGAAGACGAAGAAGACGTAAGAAGACTTATATACTTCTTCTTTGGCTACTTGTTCAGCAGGTTTATGACCTCATAGCCTTCGAGATTTTTGAAAACCACCTCCAATTAGCGTCCGGTTAATAACTAGTCGAAAAAACTTTTTAAGAAAATTCTTTCTTGCGTCGTTAAATTAATTTTTTCTTCGATCATAATAATAATAATGTGATGTGACTAATTAATATCAAGTGCGATACTGCCTAATTTTTAGAGTAATATAATAATTAATAACAATTCATGTCAAAATGACAGTTTAATTTGTTTCCAATTAAAATCGATAGATGACGTTGTGTTGACATCAAAATTTATTCTTATTTTAAATAAAATTGATTATATTAGTGTTATTTCGATCACATTTATTGATTATTATCAATCGAATTCTTTTAAATTGTTGATCTTGAAGTTATTGATGAATTATATTAATTTACCATTTAATCACTAGATGGCATTAAACACCCATACAGAGTTGATACAGAGATAGAGTTATCAAAAAATAACCAATTTAACATTAATGTCTTAAATCAAACTAAAAATAAAGTAATAATAAATCTAAACATGATTTAAAATAAATTTTTATAAATTTTAAGATTTTAATTTTGTTTTATTTTTAAAGGTTGGTATTAATCAATCACAATTTATAACATATATATTATGGCGTTCATGCATTTTTATTTATAAAAGATAACCTCAAAATTTTGAAGATTTAAATCAATTTTACATGTTTTGAAGATGCTTTTTGAAGAAATTAATTAAAAAGGAGGGTTTAATTTCATTTAATTTTCTTCTACGTCATTTTTACCGATTTTAATTTGAATTGAGGTTATGCAAGGTAATGTTAAAAAATGACATTTCATAAAATTTATTTTTTTCTCGAAATAACGTTTCTCAATCTTAACTTGCAATCCAGTTTTTATTTTTTTAGACTTTCTTAACATATCGAGAAAGAGAAACTGGTCCGACCTTGCATTAGGAAAACTTTCAAGGCCACTTTCATATTAAATAGCTTAGTTACACGATCGAATATCTTTCTGATTGGTAATGGCTGGATTAAAATTAATTTTACACCTCAAATTACAAAAAATTGCAACGAAGAACGAATTTAATTAAAAAGTAGAAGTGAAGTAATAAAAAGGCTTTGTTTACTTTATAATTAACTTTCTATTTTTTTTCTTGAAAGAGAAACAAGGAAGTTTTAATTAATTATTTTAAACAAATTTACATAACCTAATATGTTTATCGTGATATCATGTTTTAATGAATCTATAAAGCTATCAATTTTCAATAAACAAAGAGTCATGTTTCGAATTCTTTTATTGTATGTAAAATCTTATCTTGCCCTCAATCAACGAAATCAATAATAATAAAGATTCACTTTGAATAATCGATGTAATAAAATGGGTCATGTAATATTAAAAGGAATCGAACTTCAAAATACATGTGAGAAACCTACAAATGTCTTGAAAGGTAAAAATTTTCTTTGTTAATCCCTTCACGAGTGGAAAACAATTATTTCGTAATGTTATTACCTACTTAGTGCTATCTATTTGGGACACTGAAGCGACGTCAACGTTTATGCAGGTTGATGTCTTTGTCATTGTTGAATAGAAGAGACAGCAATAAAAGGTGTCCGTTATTAACACAATAAGTTTCGATATCGTCGAGATTTTGTTGCAATGACAAGCTTTCATGTACGCAATCCTATTTATTTCTTAACCCATTGGATGCTTAGTATTAACTCTTTAAACACACTGATTGGGCCAAGTTTTTGTATAAAGAAAAATTAAATCAAACTATTATAATTCTTTATTAAATTATACCAAACTATTCTATTCTCTTTCTTTTTTCGTAAGAGGACATGGACATTTAACAATATAATGTCAAAGAAATGTAATACTATTTTTTGTACCACTTCACATTTTTTGTCATGCTATTTAGTTTGCTCAGCATCATGTCTGATTTTTTAACAAGCCCCATGTTTTCGTTATGATCGACAATACAGATGGTTTTCTCTGTTTCGTGGTCCTATCAATTTTCCCCGTATCAACCATTATGTACTCATGCATTGTCTTCAGCATTAGTACTTCCCATTTGATGCTCAAAATAGTTTCCGTAAAAAAGCTCTAAGTAGCCGTCTTGAGAGACGGGCGGCTAAATCTGAATGTTTCTAGTTCTTGGTCTAGTGTAAGTTCTAGTATTGCACTATTACTATTACTAGAATTAACACAAAACCTAGAACTAGAATCATTCGGGTTTAGCCGTCTTGAGAGACGTGTGGCTAAACCCGAATGCTTCTAGTTCGAAGTCTAGTGTTAGTTCTAGTTTTACACAAACCCAAGCAAAACTTTGCCTTTGCAAAATTACCCAATGCCTGTACTATTAAGGTATATCGCATTTTATGTATAACAGTGCAAATGCATAGTAGTTTCGTAACTGTAAACATTTGGCATCCAATGGGTTAAAATACAAAGAATTGAAATAGGTAATCTTTAAATTTCAATTTTTAGTTATGCAACCAAAACAACAATCAATATTGGTTGCCTAGCTTTCCAATAAATTTTTTTTCTTATTCAATAAGGTAATTAGTATTCTCAATCAATAAATTGATTTTAGAGTCAATTATATTAACTTTTAGATTTAATTTCACCTAAAATAAAGAGAAAGATTCATATCGTTGTAATTTTTAGGTTCACAATTCTCCTTTTTATTGAGTTTTTACAAAGTAAATAGACCCAAAAAAGCTCATCCAAACAATTTAGCTGATTATCAAAGGAAGCGGATGTGATACTAAAACCCGACCACAAAAAAAAGGATCCCATTCACACAAGTTTCCTCTTTTAACATGTTTTTAATGGATGATTTGTTGGTTTTAGATGAATCATAAAAGATAACCAAAATGTTTATTTAGATTTTCAAGTTATTAATATACAAGTATGAAATATATAAAAAGACAAGGTTATTACGTTTAATTTGGTGCTATAATTTTTTAATTGCTTATTCAACAAAATCTATACTAAAACGATTTTATTAAAAAAGAATTTAATCGGAAACAATGACATCTATGAACACCAACAAAAATAAAAAAGCCAAAAATAAAAATCCACAGCCACCTTACCTTTGATTTAAGCAATAAATTAATTTTCTTCTTTTCACTTCAAAACGATTATTATTATTATTTATAATTAAGTATCTTGGTTAAAATTTCGAGAATAAGAAATAACAAACCGGAAACTCGCGATATCCGCACTAAAGGGACGCGCACATTCCCTTTTTAACCTTAAAAAATCGTTCGCGAGAAGACGTTAATTCGCATGGAGAAGATTCGAGATTTTTTTATGTAGCCCCTCTAAAAGAGGTTGAGAACGGAAACGGTGTCGATAATTGAGCTCACGACGGGGAACCAAAACGCACTGCTGCTAAAACCGAAGCCATTGGTTGACATTTACCAACTGCTTCTGATGGGTTAAGAGAAAAGAGAAAGAGATTGTTTTTGGTGGGGTTATAAAAGCGAGATAGAAGTTTTATTATGGATTTAAATGAAATTATAACCCTTTTTATGGATTTAATACAAAAACGAGTTTAAAAAAGCGATAAAATAAGAAATTTTCAGAAAAAAATTAAAGACATTAATAAATAAGTAAGCGTATGCAACCTAAACAACAATGTTATAATACAATTTTAACTCTTAAAATTTATTAATTGAACTATCACAATCATTTTAAAGCTTAATTTTTATACAATTAAAACGGTTTTGTTTATAAATAAAACATAATTGTTCAACTTCACAAATTTATAAGTAAATTAAGTTGCCTACATCATCAACAAATGACAAAACCATATAATTATTCAAAAGATAGGTTATGTTTATCGTGATAAAAAGAGACGGAAAATACCATTTCCCCATGAAATCTTAACGTTAAAAAGAGATGGAACATCCGTAGTTCCGCAGAATTGTCACAAAAACGACTGACATACACAAAGTGCCCCCCGCAATACAAAAAGTTTTGATAAAAGATAAAATGTGTTTATATTCGGTGCATTAATGTGTTTTAATTTAAGAAATAATGTTTGTTAAACCGTTTAGAGTATCGCCATTGAGAGATTTCGTTTTAAATCGTTTCTGAGATGGTTTAAAAATGATTAGTAGATTGGCGTTTTTTCGATTCGCCATCGTACTGGTATGTTGTATAGGTTTTTTACTATTAAATCAGAATGTTAAACAACCCCAATATGTGAGAAACGTTAAGTATACGGAACCTATACAGATTCGTGAAATTTTTAATAATTACACTCCGTATGTAACCATAAGAGATATCATCAAACAACAAGATGATTTAACGAAACATAATTTTGTTAATTTTCCTTTTAAAAAACGAGCGAAACTCAAAGATTATCAATTAAGTTATGGGGGTACACCGCTACGATCAATTATTTTAACTACTTGGAGGTCGGGTTCGACTTTTTTAGGCGACGTACTTAACGCTTTACCTGGAAATTATTACCATTACGAACCATTGTTACATTTCGGAATTGTAAGAGTACGTGGTCCGCCTTTAGCCAGATCAGCGTTGAATACACTAAGGAAATTATTAGCATGTGATTACAAAGATTTGGGTGATTATTTGCATTATGGACGATCACATTATAATTTATTCACACATAATCATCGATTGTGGAATCAATGCGAACAGTACCCACGGTTTTGTTTTAATTCAACATTTTTAAGTGAATTTTGTAAATTATTCCCGTTTCAATCAATGAAAGTGGTTAGATTAAGTTTAAAATTGGGAAAAAATTTATTAAAATATGAGTGAGTTAACCTCAATTTTTTTGTGACATAACCTAAAAATTTTTTTTTTTAATTTTAGTCCAAACGTAAAAATACTCCTTTTAGTGAGAGATCCTCGGGGTACACTGCAATCTCGAAAACATCGTGATTGGTGTCCAGGTATTGACGATTGTGATAAACCTGAAGTACTCTGCGATGATTTAGTTGAAGATTATCACTTGGCTCTTAAATTACAAGCTTTATTTCCTGATAGATTTCGGTAAGATTTTCTTTGAAATATAAACTTAGTGATCTAATCCTCATTATAAAATTCGTCCTTGATTATAAATAGAAAATAAATAAATGATGACACCCAAGGATTTTATTTTTAAACTTATGATTTAATTGTTTAATTATGAGCAAATAAACCTTGTAACAAAATCTTTTTTTTACAGGGCAATTCGTTACGAAGACTTATCATTAAATCCATATGATTATGTTCGAAATATTTTTAAGTTTTTTGGGTTATATTTACACCCGGATGTTCTTCAATTTCTCGATACTCACACAAAAGCGAACGTTGGAGGCGTTTCGAGTACTTTTAGAGATTCTAAAAGTGCCCCATTCCACTGGAGATACGATTTAAATTTTTCCGAAGTTGAAGAGATACAGATGATTTGTTCGGAAGCAATGAAATTATGGGGATATACTAAAGCAATAAACGAGACTCATTTGAGGGAGTTTAATCCGTTGGGTTGGGTGGAATTTTAACAAAAATTGAAGGTGTTTGAGGGTAGGCAATGTTTTCTTAATAACGAATAGATTGTGCCTTGGATTAGATTTTTATTAATCAATTTTTTTATTTAAAACGTTGAGTGAAGCTCATAGCTCAGTAAAGACAATGCACAATTAGGATTATTAATAAAATTAATGAAAAGGGGTAGTTTTTAATGAATTAACACTGAAATATGTGAATACTCACGCAAAGCAAGCCACACAATCACAATTTGGGCTTCCACAAAGTAGAAAGTATCCTCAAAAAATAAAACGAGTAATTAAATCAATTATTAAAAATTCTAACCTGAAATTATTTCGGTTTACGAGTATTTTTAGCTTAAAAACTCAAGGTACATAAAAACTAAATAATCGACGAACAAAAAAACGGGCTTATTAATTAAGAATAAAAAGAACAAGCTTAAAAAAAGACGGATTTTAGGAGGAGAATCTCAAATTAACCAAGAATATTTACTCGGCAGCTTGGAATTTTTTGATTCTTTTCAAATGATCTCGATTTAATTTTTACTTTATAAAGTTTTATGTGTATTTTTATGTTTTGGTGTATTTTTTTATGAATTTATTGACTGATTAGGTAATTTAATTTAAATTATATTATAGGTTATGTTAATGACATTTTAAATTGGTAAGCCATAAATTTTAAAGAAATTTTAATTAAATGTTAAGAAATTATATCATTTGTGACTCTTTTTTGTATGATGTGTTATCCAATTACATTTTTTTGAATAAATAAAATATTAAAAAATATTTATGTTACTAAATTTATTTTATGTTGGTATTAAATTTTTAAAGTTGGCATCATGCGACGGTTGTAGATCTAAATTTTGTGACAATTTTTTCTTAATTTTTAATTTAATTTTTTCTAAAGATGCACACAAAAACGTTATTTTTGGTATTTGTGGCGTTTGCCTTCGTCTTCACCGGCGTCTTGTCCACGATACCCGGTGAGTAAAATCGTTTTTACGATCGTAATTTTAAATTTTGAGGTTATGATGCTAAAAAGTCGTTATCAATAAACTTTTAGGTCGCTACTTATCAGCCGGCGATGTTGTTAATTTAAAAGGAAATCAAGAATTTAACATCTTTTGTTATAAAGGACGTCCAAAATACATTATTAACATTTGGCAAAGTGTCAATGTAAGATTGCACAAATTGTGATTAATAACAGAGTTAATGTTTATTGTTTTAGATGCAATTTAAACATGAATCTGATAATTTTATGTATTATGAAGGTGGAACGGTTGATGAAGTGACTAAGGAGTACATGGAGCATCGTTCTAGTTGGTCATTGAATTTATTTTCATGGAAAAATAAATATTTTAACTTAGATCCGTTTAATCAAAGCTGTGTGGGGATTTATAGCAAAGAAAAATATGCGGTTCAATTAAATGTGTTACGTATTGATTATTGCAAAGTTTTGAGTTTAATTTTTGGGGTTATTTTATTTGTTTCTGCTTCAAAATTAAGCAAAAATCAGTTTTTTTATTATTTATGTGGTATTTCATTGGGGGTGTGCGCCTCATTTCTCATCTTAGTTTACTTTATTAGTAAATTATTTCCAAAGGTAACAAAATATTATTTTTATCAATAATAAATTAAATTTTAATTTTTTTTAGAAACCTTTCATGTATGGAGTCGTTATTGGAGGCTGGACTCTTGGTGTGTACTTATTACAAATGCTTTGGGATAATGTGAGAGTAATCATGACGTTCTATCGTACTTATTTATTATGGTACATTGTTATCACAGGTTTTATAAGCTTTGTCGGTAAATAACGAAATTAAAATGACTTATTACTTTTTTAATCTACCTTTCTTTTAGTGTGTTACCGTTTTGGTCCCATCACCAACACAAGAACCCAAAACATAATCAAATGGTTCTTACAATTACTTTCTTTGATATTAATTTTTAATAGCAGTGAATTCCATGAAGCCTCAATGGGTCAAATTGTTATACTTTTAGTGGTTTATAATTTTCCAAAATCGTGGGTTTCAAAATCGAAAACTTATTGGAAACGGAAGTTTCCCCCCAGAGTTCGCCTGTTATCAAACGATGAGTATTACGATCAAGGAGTTAAACACACGGCGAAAGCACTCAATGAATTAAGAGAATTCTGCTCGAGTCCTGATTGTAATCAATGGAAGACTGCTTTAAAATTGCAAGATGTGAAAAGGTATGGAAGTTACCCGAAGGTTCTCATCTCCCATCTCTCCATGAATTTCTCCTATTGCCCCACAAAATAACCTACACCTCGCTCATAATTAAAATAAATTTTCGTTAAATAAAACATCTTTGAGGTATCCTCATTTTATTAAATCAAATAAAATCTTTTATTAATATTGATTTGTGGGTTTATTGTTAACAGGTTCGCTTCGTTTATTGAAGGAAACTCCCATTTATCTGATGCTGAAGTTTTAGATTATGAATCATTGAATGGCGATGAAATTACTGATGATGAAACAGAAAGTGAGACTGACATAGAAACTAATGCATACACTGATGAAGAAGAGTACTAATTTTTTTGTGATGTTTTTTATATTTAATGAGAATAAATTGTTTTTTTAAATCTTTTATTTCAATATAACTTAAAAAAAAAATTTGGTGCGATAACCATAACGCTAACTTTAATCGCCCCTCTTCACTATGGCTTGTAGCTATCTATGAAGCCACTCTCCAGGCGCTGCAGATCGTGAAAACAGTATCACCTCTGGTTAATGACTAAAAGAACTTTAAACACACTGAGTTTCTCTGATCTGGGTTCAAGGTCATTATGGGGTTGCTGGCAATAAAACGGCAGATGAGCTAGCACGAGAGGGCAGCGCTAAAATTTGCGATGGCCAAACATAGGATTGGGCTAATAAAATAAAAATAACCTCATCCAAATGAAATTGTTTTAAACATTTATTAAGTCTCTTTTAATATAAATAATATCTTTTATCCCTTTACATACATCTACCCCTTTTATGTAGTGTTTTCAAGATAATCACAAATATACAGATAAAAACGATTTTAATTATTCGATGATAATTATTATTTAGTATAATCAGGTGTGTGTGTGTGGGCGAATGAGTTCGTTTCTTATCGCTTTATGTACAAAATAAATAATTACGAAATATACCATACGTTAATTAAAACAAAAAAAAAATGTGGAAATACGCAGTCGTTATTACAATATCAGCCGATCCAAAGCTTTATCTCTATCATTGTTGCATTCTAAAAGAGCTTTCGATACGTCTTGTTCAGGAAATCCCAAATCTAATAAGTCGGATAGTGCCAAAAGGTGCTCTACAATCTAAAATTTCACAAAAAAATAATATAATAGAAACATAACTTTAATGCTTACCTTTTTATGATCATCTCCAATTATTTTACAAACGCGAATAACTCGATCTAAAGGAAATCCCATGGAATTAATTTCTTTAGCCATTTTTTGTAAGTCTCCTGGCATGTTCTTAAACGTTTCATCTTCAACTTTCGCCTCATTTTGTAATAAAGAATCGACTAACTGACTAGATTTATTGATAGAAGTAACATTATTCAAATTTAAGTATTTATTATCAATTTCGGTTTGCAAAGCCTTCATGATATCAGGCACTGTGCTATTAAGTTGGACAGTATTATTAATTTTAATATTATTGTCAACCATTTTCCCATAATTAATTGGATGTCCAAAATTCGGATTTAAATGATCATAATATTTCAATAAACCATTACTAGGCGTTGTAATAGTGGTCGTTTGGTAAGTATTATTTGTTGAATTTGGAAAATTGTATGCATTTGATGAGGTTGAAGGTTGATATAAATAACTTTGTGTATTGTTAGGATAAGTTTGTGTATATACAGCGGGATTATTATAAGAATACAAAGAAGAGGTTGGTATAATTTTTTCTTCATTCTGTAACACCAAAGCTAATTCTGCCATATCGTTTATAGTTTTTAAAGCCATATTATCAAACGGACTAGACGTATCTGGATCAAAATCTGAAATGTTAAACGGACTTTTATCTACCGTTTTACACGTATAAGAACCAAGCGTTAAATTTCCTAACGGAGTGGGTGTTAAAATATTAGCATTCGCTTGAGTTGGTTTTAACATCGATGAATCTCTTAAATTATTATAATTATTTGAAAAGTCGTTCTCACTTTTCGTAGTTATTCCTTTCTCCATCTTATCCTCTTCGTCCGTTTTCTTTTTTCTTAATTCTATTTCTATATTTTTTTCTTTCTCTTTCGCCTCTTTTATACGTTCGATTCTTTCCTTCTGTTCCATTATCATTTTTTCACGCGCCTCTTTCCACTCCTTCATTTTCTCTTTAACCGTTCGCTCTAAACTAAAATTGTAAATTGGAATGTTATCGCGAATTTGTTTGTTCACTTCTATTCGTTGTGAATATGCCATCGGTAACGTTATTTTCGGTGGAGGTTTATAACGTTCTGAAATTTTCACTTTCACACCATCCATGTAACTAGAATGCTCTTGATTTGATTTGTAAGCCATTTAATCTAAATCAAAATTAAAGAACTGATCATTTAAAACATTTATTTATTATTATTTGTTACAATTTTATAACATAACCTAAAAATTAAAAAAATTTTTTTTTTGTATATATCTAAATGTTATATATTCTTATAAATTGTTATAAATAAAATAGTATTTTTGCTTTAATTCAACACACAAATTACCTCTTAATGTTAAAGAATAAAATTAAAATGATTTTTTAACCTTACACTTTAAGTGACAGATTCAACCTAACCTCAAAATTATGTTAAATAGGAATATTTAATATCTAAACGTTACATATTTTTATAAATTGTTATAATAACGTTAAAAAAGTGTTTTTGCTTTAATTCAACACATAAATTACCTCTTAAATTAAAAAAATAAAATTAAAATGATTTTTTTAACCTTACACTTTATCTGACAGATTCAACCTAACCTCAAAATTATGTTAAATAGGAATATTTAATCAAAAAATTATTATTGATCACTTAAACTTGATTAAAAATGATTTTATACAAAGGTTTATTAATAACAAATTAGTTTAATTAAATTTTAAGATAAATAAAATCTAAAATGATTTATTCAAGGTTGTTATGATTCATCATAAAAAGAAACGTTTTTGTGATGTTTAAATTAAGTTAAAACAATTAAAAAGGAAATATTAAAGAAAGTTTATTATTTACCTGACGTTGTGATGTTTAAAACGAACGTGACTAGTTTGGTCGATAAAACTTGATGAACATTTCACCGCGAATTCGATAAATGCGTTTTACTGTCTTAAGAAAGTTTAAATAAATTAAATTAAATATACTTTGTACAGAAATAAATTTGTTGTTGCACTTTGTCACCTGTCAGTGTGATTGCACAGGGAATTTTGTTTTTTGAAGATGCGCCATCACGGGGGAACTAAAATTTTTTAGGGGGGAAATTTAAACGTCGAAATTTATCCAAGTAAATTTTCCACGTTATTTTATTAATATGTGCATTTACAAAATAAAGAAAAATTATTACAAGAAACGAATCGGTAATAGTTAGAGATAACTAATACTTAAATAGTAGAAAATATCGATATAATATTATAGATTCATTCACTTGTGGGATGGGTAAAATGTTCTTTATTTTTGTTATAAAAAAATATCTTATTGGAAGTAATACATTTTTAAAGAATTGCACTATTAATTTGGAGTGGATGAAAGGCGATGTTACACCATAATGTTGTATATATGTGTATATACCTTTATCATAAACATAGTTTTTATTAATGCCAAGTAAATTGCATCATTAATAAATACTGTGTATATAAACTTCCCTTTTCACTAACTATATGTATTCTAAACGTTATTAGCAACGCAAACATATTATAAATCTTAACTTATATTATGTACAATAAATATATACACACCTACATATGGGGCACCTCTTACAAAGATCTTACAAAGATTAGTAGCCTATTAAAAAAAAATAATTATTTACAATATAAATATATATAAGACATATACATATATATTTCCTCCTAACAGGTAAAAAATAAAAAGTTACTAAAAAAAGAATCGTCCTTTTTCAATATAAAACAAAAATAAATAATTTAATTCTATTCGATATTTTCCGAACCGCACTCTAGCTATGTATCTAAATCATCTTCCCTTTGGCTCGAAAAGTACGACACCAACCCCCCAAATTCACCGCTGTTCTCTTCCTCGTATCCTTTAGCTGCCTCCTGAGGTGAATTCGTTTCCGAAAACTGCTCCCCGTACGGATAATTCATGTTTTCTTCCCCTCCTATATTCGGAGGCATATAAAAGTAACTGGTCGGGTGCTGTACAGACGGTTGATACGGCATCCTGATATGTGATGAGGGCGGCACCACCGGAGGTGTACCAAATCTCGGTGCCAGTTGCGGTGGCGGTGGTGTTGGTTGAGGTGGTTGCCTAGGATGCTGGGGTTGTTCAACCGTTTTAGAGGAACCTTCTGATTCAGGTGGCACCGTAACCGGTGATTCCCCGTCTTCAGGTGTACTCCCAGTTGGTGGTATAACCACCGACGCACCTCCGGTAGGTGGTGCTTCCAACGAATGATGTTGATATATTCCTCCAGGTGGTGGTGGTGGTGGCGGCGGCGCTGGGAGTCTTAATCTTAATTGGGGTTGGTTTGGTACTGGGCTACTCCGGTGGAAAGGATTTAATAGTGGAGCTGGAGGCGGTCGATATTGTGGTGATGGAGCATTCCCTAATTTATTAATTAATTAATTCATTATTAAAAATTAATTAAAAAAATTTTTTTTACTTACCTTGAATGTAAGGTGGCACAATAGGTGGTGCGGGTGGCATCGCAGCATTTCCAGGTGGAGGTCCCGCTTCTCCAGCAACTGCTTGTTCGCCATAAAACCCATCAATTTGGCCGTAATTTCCTGGCGGTCGCCCCCCTTGAAGCATCCTCGTGATCACCGAAGGAACCGGTTGTGTTTGTGCGAAAGGTTGCGGGGGAGCCGCCACCGCTAATTTAGCCGTTTGTAATTCCGAAGTAGTATTTTCATTCGGTGTTGGAACAACAATCGGGGGTGGTCCAGGAGTTGATGCGGCCGCTGCAGCAGCAGCCGCGGCTTCCTTTTCTAACGTTTTCTTCCCTTTACCACGTCCACGTCGTTTCTTTGGGGAATCCGTTTCCGATAAGGAGTTAATTGGATTATTGAGTTGATTTATATCTAAGTTGGGTGGGTTTGATGATAAAATTTCGTTAGGATTTTTAGGAACTCCATCATTATTAGGGTTATAATTTTTAGGCTTTCTCCCTCGTTTTTGAGGAATTTTCGGTGGAGGTTTTTCCTCTTCATCATCGCCTTCATGTACTTTCTTTTGTGCTTCTCTTTCTTTTCGCTTTTTCTCCTTTTCTAATTGCAATGCCATTAATTGGAGTTGTTTATTAGCGTACTCCTCTTCTTCCATTAACTTCTCCATTTCCTCCTCATCCATTTCTTCCAAATTTCGATTCATAGCTTCGATGGGATTGATGTCATCCTCTTCTTCCTCTTGGTTTCCACCGCTTTCTTTTATTTTTTCTGATACATTTTGTTGGGATACGACTACATTTGATTGAATAACAATTTTAGGTGGCTCTAAATTGGATGTGTTGTTTTTAATTTCTTGGATCTTTTTGATTTCTTCTTCATCGAGCGCCTCATCATCGTCCTCGTCTTGTTCGGCGTCTTCCGCAACGAAATCATCGTCGCTTTCGAGTTTTTCGTTTGGTTTTTTTGGTTCGTCATCGTCGCTATCCGAAGCTAAAACGGCCGCGTAATTAATTTTTTTTCCTCGAGTTCTTCGCCCGATTTCCATGTCATCATCTTCGTCATCATTTAACCCGCCGTATTTAATTTTCCTTTTCTTTTTATTAACGTGGCGTTCGTCTTCGTCGGAATCGTCGAAACGTTTCTTTGATTTTTTTGGTTTTCGTTTCTTCGGAGATGAAGATGAAACGTTGTTTCTCTTGCTTCGTTTTCTTCTACCCCACGATTGGTCGCTTTCTTCTGACTCAGTTTCCGTCCACGGTCTATGACCACCTTTTTTTCGTTTCTTCTCTTCTTCTTCTTCATCGTCGTCGTCGGAATCATCGTTAATAAAATCTCTATCGTAACGTGACCTTCTCGCCCTTGTCGATCGACGAACAGGTCCTTTTTTCCTACCTCCACCACCATAATCGCTACTATCACTGCCGAGATCTTCTTCATAATCATCTTCGTCCTCATCCGAACTTGATCCTTTAAAGTCTTCGTCGGAATCAGCGTCATCTTCGCTACTCACATCTAAACTATTTAGTTTTCTCGGTTTTTTCCTTCCAATTAATTTTTTAGCTGGTTTAATTGGTTCTTCGTCTTCTTCTTCGTCAGATTCTTGTTCGGTGCGTTTGTGCTCAATTTCAGTTGAAACTTCGGGAATATTTTCTGGTTTTTCGCTTTGTTTTTCAGGTTCTTTTTGTACTGAGTTTTCTTCAGAAACTTCTTCTGGCGGTTTTGTTACATCACTTTTCTCTTCGTCTTTTGCATTAACAATCGTCGAAATATCTTTACCTTTCCCTTGATTTCCAGCTCCCTTCACAGCATCCATCTCATCTCGAATAGCGGAATTAATTAATTCATCATAATCTTGAAACCGATAACTATGTGCTTGCCTGCGTTGTCTTAATTGATAAATAGGCTCATCCTCGCTATCCGATTCAGATTCACTTCCACTTTCGTCTTCGTCGTTACTGCTTTCAGAGTCTGAACTTTCACTTTCTTCATCGACTTTATTAGCACGTTTTTTCATTACTGGTAAATCTTTATTTTGAATTGACTTCTTAACCGGAAGTACGTTAGCTAAACTGATACCAACGTACGCTAAACGTTCACGACGTCGAACAACAATTTGCCGCTTGGCAAGTTTTTTATCGAAATCGATCAATTTCCTTTCGAGATTTTTAACAAGCATAACATGTTGACATGGTGGACAAAACCAGTCGCCTTCGGGAATGACAAGAAGGGCCGGACGTAAACAAGAACAATGCCAGCCATTTTCGCAACCATCGCATAACAAAATCCATTCCGGGTGATCTTTTTTGCCACATTTTTGACAAGAACAATCGTCGACTTCCTCGCAATCATCTTCTTTACGAGCCGTTCTTGCGCGTTTTAATGGTTGCACCTCTTCGCCTCCTAAAAATTTTAAATGAAATAAATTAATGTTTAATTTGTCAACAAATATAAAAATTTACCTTCTATGTCACTTTCTGGTGAAAATTCATGGTCTGATTTAAATAATGGACTTCCGGGATCAGAAATTTCCTCTTCCTCTTCTTCTGCGACTTCCTCATTTGAACTTGAATCGCTTGAGGATCTCCATGGATTACTTTCATCAAAAATTTTTCTTGGATCAACGTTTTTCCTCCGCTTCTTCTTCTTTTTTCTCAATTCAGATTCATCGTCGCTTTGTATAAGAATGGGTTCATCTTCTTGAGTTGAGGTTTTTGATTTTTTATGTTTAACCTTTTCAACTTTATAATCTTTATCTTCGTCTTTTTTGCTACTTTTTCGTTTCTTTTCGACGTCCATCATCGTCATCTCCTCAATTTTTCGCCTTTCCGCTTCCTCCCTAATCTTTAACTGAGCGATTCTTCGACTTTGTCGTACATTTCCAGGAGTTGTTTCTAAGAAATCAATTGATTCGGGAATATCCAACCCCAAAAGGGTCTTTTTCCTTTTGTATCCACCCTTATTAACGGGCGGTTTCTTTTTCGCCTCAACTATTTCTTTCTCTTTCGTTTTTTCTCCATCTTCATCCTCGCTGCTGATCGTTTCCTTTTTCTTCTGTTCCTCGACACTTCTCCTTAAATCTTTATCAACTTGTCGTTTTCCTCTTAACTTTCGTTTCTTTGATGATAAAACTTCTTCGTCATCGTCATTACCGTTGTTACTTCCACCACCTTTTTCGACATCTTCCCGTGTCCGTTTTTTTCTTACCACTTCTTTCGTAGATCTCGGTGGAGAATCTGTTACATCCAATTGAAATGTACTCAAAGTCATCGTTTTAACTGTTGGAGTAACTTCCACGCAATCATCGCTATCGTTTTGACCATCATCTTCAATTAAAATGATATCGTTACTGTTGTTATCATCATTTAAATCGTCGAAATCATCATCATCCACTTCTTCTGGATCATCGTCTGCGTCATGAATAGTTTCAACCATCATCTCTGGTAAATCATCTATGTTATTATCATCATCACTACTTGCTGATTTTATAGAAAGTGGTGATGGTGTACTTTGTTTTGGTTCTTGTAATTTTTGGATGTTAACGCAAGATAAAAATGGACCGTTTGTTTTTGGTTTTTCTTCTGATGTATCATTGTTTGTTTCGTCTATATCGACTATTGTTTCATTTCTATCTTTATTTATTTCATCTTCGTCTTTATTTGTTTCACCTTTATCTCTTTTTTTCTTCTTTGCAACAATACCTTTTTTTGCTTTATCATTTTCTTTCATTGTTTCTTCCTTTTCTAACTTAGTTTCATTTTTATCCTTTTTTGCTTCTTCTTTATCTTTCTTTACTCCATCTATATCTTCCTTTGCCCCATATTTATCTTTCTTTCCTTCACCTTCATTCATCACATCATCCTTTTCTATATTCGCTTCACCTTCTTCTACATTAGTTTCATCTTTATCTTTTTTCGTTTCGTTTTTTCTTTTTTCCTTCTTTTCGGTTTCAATTCTTGGAGATGGTGACGAAGAATTTTTAGTGAGTTTTGATCGTTTCGATTGTATTTCGATGGGATTTTCCTCTTCGGTAGATTTTTGTGTAGCATTTTTTACATTGTAATTAGGGTGCGATCTTCCACGACGCTTCATCTTAGGTAATTCAGGTAAAATTACGGCATCGCCCGCTTTTTTTCTGGTACTTCTTCGTACCTATATAAAAAATAAATTAAATGTAAAATAGCTAACTTATCACAAAAATCGCCGACTAAAACAAACAAGTTTGAATAAATCTAAGAAAACTAACCTCCGCAAATTGTTTATGTGTTTGTAATTTGGTTTGATTTACATTTTTCGGCATACCGTACTAATATTATTTATTATAGTTTGCTTAACAAGTGTCAGAACCTGTCCAGAACTCTTCTAATTCTTATTACACATGCGCTTTAGCTTTCTTGCGCCGTAACGTGGTAAACTCCGATTACCAATTCGTTATTCTATCAGTAAGTAATTGTAGTAAATAATAAACACCATATTTATAGACAATACACAAACACTTTGTGAATTCTTTGCGAATTGTTTGATAAAGATTGCGGCATGCTAATCGCATGAACTATTTCAAGTGATACTAACGAAATAATTTTAGTAAATAAAAAGGATTATTATTACTTAACTTGTATTAAAAAAGTCGACAATTTAATAATTATTTTAAAGGGTTCAGTGAAGTTTCGATGATGAAAATGCATACTTTAGGTGTGTTACGTGAAATAGATGGTAAATGGAGAACCCAAAAAAATTGTTGGTTTCTTTTTAAAGCGTTATAACCTTAAATTGAAACTTCACCTGTCAAAGAATTTTTCAGAATACAGTAACTAACGACATCTAATTTTCGTCACAATAAGCAAAAAATTAAAGCAAATTTTGTCGGTAATGAAGAAATTTCCAATTGAACTAACTTCAAAATCTTAAAAATTTAAAAAAATAATTTTCACAGCTCAGTAACAATCAGCGTCGATTTCGAGATCCTGACAGCTCAGAATTATGCCACAATTTTACTCAGATTTAAATCGATTACAATTTCAGTAAATAAATTTTATCTCCTCCAGATGTCGCTATGTTGACATAAAATTGACACATTAAAATAATGCTAACCTCAAACCTAAATATCACTACATAAACATAAAATAGGAGTAAATTTTATACAAATTCTCTTGTTATTGTATGATAATTTACCAATTACTAATTTGCAAGATACAACTCGAGCAAAATACTAAAGAAACTCTACAACATTTGAAGTTAACTAACCTGTATTGGTTCTTGTGTTGAAGATTCTCCATTTTCAACGTTAGCATCAACATCTTTCGTTTTAACGACCTTTTTCTTCACTCCAACTCCTTTTTCTTTTATCTCATCCTGAGCAGGTGATTTAACATTTTTTACGTCATCATTATCTCCACCACCTTTGATATCAACTCTTTTTTGATTTTTTTCAACACTTTTATTAACTTTTTCATCAATATTCAATTCTGTCTCAACGACTTTTAATTCATCTTCATCAACATTTAATTCATTTTTATCAAGGTTTATTTCATTCTTATTAACATTTAGTTCATCTTTATCAAGATTTAATTCATCTTTATCAACGTTTAATTCATCTTTATCAACGTTTAATTCATCTTTATCAACGTTTAATTCATCTTTATCAGCGTTTAATTCATCTTTATCAACATTTAATTCATCTTTATCAACATTTAATTCATCCTTATCAACATTTAATTCATCTTTATCAAGATTTAGTTCATTTTCATCGACATTTAATACATTTTCACTTGCATTAAATTCTTTCTCATCATCATCAATAAAAATTTCCTTTGAGACATTCGGTGAAGAATTTTCTGAAGGCGAATTAGTAATTAATTCAGGTTCATCCGAGTCAGGAGAATCGTCTTGGTCGTCAAGATTTATAATAGGAATTGAAGCTTCTTCGTCAGTTTTGGCGCATTTTTCCACAACATCATTTAAAATTGATTCTACCTCTTCAATTTCAGTGTTTTTATCTAAATCATCGGTTATTTCAATAACTTCAGTTGCTTTTTCCAACAGTTTTGTTTCGTTTTCTTTTAGGTTATCAATTTTAAGGTTATGTTTACTGTCATCTTCAAGATTTTCTGTTTTATTAGTGGTTGCCATAGTTACAATATCATTTGATTTAAAACTAATTATTTCGTCATCTTTTTCTTCGGATAAAACATTTATTTTGGAATTAATCAATTCAGTTTCTTTTAATTCTTCAACGATCGGCGATTTTCTAGAAATTTCATTTTCCTTTTCACTTTTTAATAATTTTTGAACGATTTCTTCTTGTTCATCACCTTCAATATCCAGAGAGGAATTAATTTGATTTTCACTTTGACATAATACATCACTGTTTTCATCATTTAAATTTTCATTATCAGAGTCATTTATTTTCTCATTATCTTTATCAATTTGATTCGAAGGCACATCATTAATTTTTAACACTCGATTTCTATCATTATTATTATCCACATTAACTATGTCCGAAGAAATTTCTTTTTCGGAAGTTGTTGACACCAAATTCGTTTTTGTTTCGATTAAAACACATTCTTCATTTTTATCGTTTGAGTCTTTATTACTTTCTTCATTCAAACTTGTAGACTTTGTTGATAGATCAATAAGAATTGCTTCATTTTGCTGATTTTCGATGGAGACTTCTGAATTATCAGACGTTTCATGATTTGATTGAAGCTCTTCTTTTTGTGATTCCTCTTCTTCTGCTTTATTAAATTGTGTATTTTCAATTTGATCATCAATAACATCAGGTTCTTTTAAATTTTCTTTATTATCTTTACAAGTTGTTATTACTAATTCTTTGGATTCTATAAAATTTTGTAATTCTGAATCATTTTCCACATTCAAGTTTTTTTCTTTAGAGATTGATTCAATTTGGTCAATCTTATCTTCTACTTCTTTATTATCTTCACCACAATCTTGTAAATGATCTAATTCTTGGTTTTCTGTACTTTTTTCTTCAATACTTAAAGCTTTATTTTCTAATGTTTCATTTTTCTCTATTATTTCTATTTCTTCTTCTTTATCTTTTAATTTTTCATCACATTCTTCAGTTTCCTCCAATTTTTCATCTCTTTTTTCTTGTAATTTTTCCAAATTGACCTCATCATTTTCTTTATTCGTTTCTTCCACTTTTTCTTCGGTATGATCGCCAACAAATTTTCCATCAGATTCTTTAGTTTCTTCATTTTCAGTTCTAGTTGGGCTTTCCGGAACTAATCTTTCACTACTTTCCTCAATTTCTTTATCGCTTTCTTTAATATTAAGATCGCTCGTCAAATTTGTTTCCCCAACAATCTCAATTTCCTCATTTCCCTTCATACATTCTTCCAAATTTGATTTTCCTTCACTTAAATTTGAGTCATCTAAAGAGATATTTCGTGCGTCACGCTCAAGTTGTTCAATTTTTCCATCGGTTGAGTCATCATGAAGAGAAATCATCTTAGTTTCTTGTTCCAAAGATTCAATATCATCTTCTTCTCCTTCTTCTTTTTGAAGTTCTGGTTCCACCTCACTCGTAGAATTATTATTTTGTGATTCATTTTCGTTGTTCAATTCTTTATCAATTATTTCTGTATCATTTTCTTCAATGTTCTCTTTACTTAATGCATCATTAACAATTAATTCATTTTTATCATCGTGTTTTGTACCTTCTTCAGTCATATTTTTCTCATTTTCTTGTACTTTTTCATCGTTTTGAATCTCTTTTATTACATCACTGGAATGTTCTGGTTTATTTACATCATTATTGTCTAATAATTTATCTACAATTTCAGGAACATGAGTCGAATTTAAATCATTAACTTTTACAGATTCATTTACATCAATATTTAAAGAGTCTTCATTAACATTTAAAGGCTCATCATTAATTTTTGAAGATTCTTCATTAACATTTAAAGACTGATCATTAATCTTTGCTACTTCTTCATTGACATTTAAAGGATGATCATTAATCTTTGCAGATACTTCATCAATATTTAAAAGCTGATCACTAATTTTTGAAGATTCTTCATTAACATTCAAAGGCTGATCATTAATCTTTGAAGATTCTTCATTAACATTTAAAGGCTGATCATTAATCTTTGAAGGAGTAGCATTAATTGAAGCTCCAAAACTTAAAGAAGCACCAATTGTGAATGTCTTTGAACCGAAAAAGAATGAACTGGTGGATTGTTCGGGGCATTTTTTAGAAGCTTCTTGAATATCATTGTTTGTGTTGTCATTTTTAATGTCAGTTTTAGTTTTGTCATCATCTTTTCCGGTCGATTCATTTCCGGTTTGACAATCATAACCATTCCCGGCGCCATAAAAATAAAAAGTATCCTCGATTTCCTCACTTACAATTATAGGACAAGATTTATTTGAGTGTCCGTTTCCTTGACCCCGAATTAACATAATTGGCTCCTCAATTTCTTCCCCAACTTCGTCGTTTTCATCATTCTCTTCATCCTCCTCCTCCTCCTCCATTTCTTCTTCCTCATCTTCGATTTCTTCTTCATCAAGATTTTCATCTTCTTCTTCATCAACATCTTCATCTTCGTCAGATTCCTCTTCAATTTGTGGTTCTTGCTGAGTTTTTTTAATTAAAAGTGTTGGCCGATTCATTCTACGTTGTTTTATACATTTGGGTTCTTCGATTTCATATTCTTCTAATGGTCTTTTGTAAGATAGAGCATCTTTACTTGCGCTTCTAACTGCTTTTCCAACAGAAACACTCGCACTTTCCTCCCTTATATATTTTCCTTTAATACCCATAAACTCCTTTTTTGGTTGATCCAAAACTGAGGGTTTCGATTTTATACTTAAATCTAATCCTTCGTTACTTTGGAAATTTTCATCATCATTTACACCATCAACATTTTTATCATGAACATTTTCATCATCAATTGAATTTTCATCAGTTAAATCATTTTGATCTTCATTGACTAAATCTTGAGTTTTCAATGTTTGATTTTGGGCGTTATCAGACTCATCAATTTTCAAGTCAACTGTGGATTTGGGATTTTTCGATTTTTGACCTGTATCTAAAATGGGTTTTTCAACAACCTCCACACTGTTACTATCTTCATTACTAACAGGTTCTGAGCTGCTTTTGGTGGAATCTCCATTATTTAATTGTGTGATTAGGTTAACTAAACCATCGCGATCTCTGTAAATTATTTTTAAACATTAAATATTCAGTTAAATCAAAAAAATATATATTACTTTGCAATAAGTGACCAACTTTCATCATCAGGGTCATCTTTATAAACTTTTATTCGACATGATTCGTCACATTGATACCAATAAATCCTTCCAGAAGAGTCCCTTCCAATTGGTTGTGAACGAAGTTCTATAGCAGACATTTTATTAATATCATTTTTAAATTTTTGATTATAATCAAATTGCATCTCAAGTAGTTGCTTTAAAATCCTCAATTTAGATCCAATCCTAGCTTTTTTATAACCAAACCTTTCCAATTCCCATCCGTCTTTACTACAATATGTAGTGTGACAAAGCTTTATAAGTGCCCTTTCCCAACGTTCAGAAGATACAGACTTCCTCGCCTTCCTCAATAACTTTATGTGAAGGTCAATAAGTGCTTGAGGAACTAAAACAACAACAATAACAATTAACCTTTTAAAATTTATTTACTTAATTTCTAACTAACCTTCTTGGGTATTTTCGAGCATTTCTTGTAAATCCAAAAAGTCTATGTTATTAAGACCGCACATCGCCCCGAAACGTTCGAGGAAACCGCAGATGACGGCGAAATTTGGATCGGCATCGCAAGAAGCTTCACTGTTCTCGGTCGCCATTTGTTGTACCCCTCCGGGTAAGTTGACAGCGGCGGCCTTAAAAAGAGCGTCTAATAAACGACGCCCGAACGACGACGCGACGCCCTTGAGTCCCTTGCATACCACCTACACTAATAACGATTCTTCACTATAAGAAAAACAACACCACCGAATCGAAACTCTTAACTTCTTCAATTTAAGAGCTCCATAAACGCGCTCATATAATATGAGATACACACAACGAGTGAGCATCGGTTTATAAACAGCGTAGACGGTATTTAAAGTATTAGAATCTAGATGGGGTTGCTTTATGTCAATTAATTCTTTCCTTAAAATGCTGTATTTTAATCCACTTAATAAAGTAATTGAATAAATTAGGATTGATACGGTTTATGTTAATGTAATAACAAGGTTATGACAATAAATTTATAACAAATTAATAATTTTTGTAACTTGGTAACTTGAGAAAATGATTGATAGATGGCGAAAATTCTTTTTTAATTATTTTTGTATTATTTTATAGTTTCCGCATTATTAATTACAATTATTAAATTGATTATATTTTGAAATTATCAACATTATAATAAAATCGATTTTAAATAATAAAAAAATTTAAATTATAATTGTTTTAATTTTAATAAAGTACCAATAGATGGCGTTTTCACTAGCTAAATAATAATATTAATAACATTTTTTATCAATATAGTTTTATTTCTTCATAAATAGAATAAAAAAAGAATCATTAACAATAATTTTCAATTAGTTTGATTGTTGGTAAACCTTAAAAATGTAATGTGGTAATGATTATTTACAAGAAATGTGAAAGATATAAAAGATTTCTATAATACTAAATAAAAATCACCCGTCGATCAATCCAATCTATAAATAAATAAGTTATCGCATAATTAAATATTACTTTAAGCTTGAAATCGTCGATTATTACTTCTTGGTCGTTTCATTTTAACTAATCGCTTAAAAATTAACAATCCAACTATAATAACAGCACAAGCTGCGATTGTAATTAATATATAAAAACCATGTCCTAAACCAGTCTTTTCATTTGTATTATTTGAATCATTTTTTGGAGATTCTTTTTCTTCATCAACAATCTTTCTAGATAAATCAACATTAACTTTTGGAGTAGTTGTGTTTAAAAAGTCCGCAACGCTAATTGTTGTAGTTACTACATCTTCTTTTTTGTGTTTTTGTCGAGGTACGAATGCAAGAGGTTCTAATGGGGCTGTTTGAAAGTATTCTTGCAAAGATGAAAAATATGATTGAATTTCATAATGATATATTTGATCAATACTCCAATGCCACGAAACAAGTTCTGTGGGTGTCTTTAATGGGATGTCCTTGATAACAGATGGAAAATCGTTATCAAGAAGTTGATTTATTATACTTGGATTCTGTTCTAAAGTTAAATCAAGCGATGATAATAAGTTAAATTGTAAAACATTTCCTAAAAATTTCCCCAAGTATGGCTCATTTCGAATTATAAATTCGTCTTGAAGAAAATCTGGTTCATTGTTTGTTGATCCTTCGACACCTTGCGTTTTCATTCGTTCTTCCCACCAAGATTTAACGACATTTTCACTTGGATATTGGATTTCGTTAATCCTCCAAGTGTCCGCGGTGTAATAATAAGCTAATTTTGGCAAAACTCTGAGTGCAACTAATAATTTTGCGGTAAATAAATTTTCCGTTGCATTTAAATGAGTCGAAAATGCGTTTTGTTCGGTGAAATCATCATAAGGCATGTTGTGTATTGCTATTGTTGAAGCTAAGCTTTTTATTCCTTCTTCTACAAAGGAAGATTTTATTTCTCTGTAAGGTAGAGAGGTATAATCAACATTTTTTAATCCTAATTCAAACGATTTTTCTTGTGTATTTAGATACTCAACCCAAGAGGTTTTATTACAAGTTAATAATCTGTAAAAAAAAATATTTGGAGATATTATGATTTGTAATTTTTTTAAATCTTACATTGAATATTCTTCTGAACAGAATGAAATAACTTCTCCTGGACATACATTTGTATTAAAATTACTTTTTTTCCAAAACCTTTCTGGGTTGTGTTTAAACTTTAAAGTTTCTGCAACTTTATTACAGTGTTGATAAACATGTTTTTTGCTCTAAAAATGATTAATTAAAACAAAATATGGAACAATAAATCTTTTTACTTTTTCTTGAAGCGTTAAAATGGCATCTTGATAAATTTGTTGATGTGGTAAAATTATTTCAGCCAAATTACTCCAATCTTCACCAAATTTACTTCCAGTTAAATAAACGGGGATGTATGTGAAATTCGTTTTATAATAATTATTGAGTCTATCAAGTACAAAAGTATGAAATTCTTTATAAAATGGCTCTATCTCCACCCAAATATTTTTGATGTCTTCATAAGCGTTGGGGTATTGAACAAAATCCTCCCAATGTTGAATAAAATCGTAGTTATCTAAAAAATATAAATAAATTTCTTATTTCAACTAAAATAGGATTTTTTACCGTTTAATTTGGCAGTTTTTTCAAGTAAAAATAAAATCTCTGTAAAATTAACGGTAATATTTAAATTTTCATTCCATGTACTCCAAATTTTTTCTAAATAAGTTAAGTTTCGTGAAGAACCCAATTTTTCTTCATACTCTCGTCGGTTTAAGTATTTTTCTGTATTATTAGGATCTTGAACCAAATTATTTCTTATTTTCTCCACAACCCCATTCGAAAATTCCGTTAACTTAGCAAAATTAAAATAATTAAAAGATAAAAGAAACACAATAAGATAATAAACTCACCTTTAATAAATCGTTATCTTCCAACATTGCACTATTTGGTTTTAATAGCATTTGGTGCATATTAACATATTCGGAAGGAATACTATCAGCGTCTTTTGTAGCCATATCTTTCGATTGACTTCTTAAATATCTACTATACTTTAATTCGGCGTTTATCTATTTGAAAATGAATTAATAATTAAACATAAATTTATTAATTAAATAAGCGGCGGTTTTGTGAACTAAGTGCTGTCAAACATTTTTCAAAATATCATTTTGCGGTAACTTTATTATGATATTTCGAATCAATTCATCACTCACGCATTAAAAAGAAATAATTTTTACATTTATAAATTTGTTGATCGTTGTGGCTATGTGGTATAATAAAGAATATAATTATAAAAAAACGTTTCCTACTTTATCGACATTTTAAACTAATTTTTTAAATAATTAAATTTAAGAAAAAAATTAACCTTCTCTTTAGACGAGTTAGTCCCCAATAAAAAATTTCTTCTAACATTTGAATATTCATCATAATAATCAATTAAGTCGTACAAAACAAAGGCCCATTCGGTATTTATCCTCTCTAATTTCTCTTCTTCAGTTTCTTCATCATATTCTTCCTCACTATAGCCATTATTTATTAACAACAATGTTAGTAAGAAAATTAATTTTAATTCCATTTCTTTATAAACCTAAAAAAATATACGATTAAATTTTATGAAATGATTCAGCAACATTTTATGGCCCATATCAGTAGTTTAATAATTATGTTATCTTCTTTTGTGTTAAATTTTAATGTGTTAATCATAGAAGAAAAATTAGTAATGAATAAAATTTTAACATGAAATCCTTGAATCTTTTTATAGATATTTGTATTTATAACACGTTTTATATTGCTTAAAAAAATAAATAATAAGGTAAAACAAGTACAAAACGTACTCAAATATTATATAATAAGCTCTTATTGTGTTCTTAAAACAATTTGAATTGGAATGGAAACTCGATAAGATAACGATTTTTATCTTAGTATTCGATTTAAATGACTAATAATTAAAAATGATCAAACTAAAATACCACAAATTTGATCTTTGAACTATTAACCATTTACTAAAAGGTTTATTTTAACTGGAACACGCAGAATGAATCATCCTTATCTAAATTAACTGGAAATCGTTAAAAGAATTGTTGTTTCCGTTCCAATAACAATAACAACTTTCCCTTTTTTTAATTCAACAGGATAGAGAAGGTTTGAAGAAAAACTTAACGAAAACTTACGTTCTTTACAATTCTAACCTATAAATTAAGTTGAGATAAAATTTAATTAATAAAAACTATTCAATTAGCAACATAACACCACTAAGAAAAACCACAATCAAACGTTTATTTCACGTTTTATAACGTTTTTAACAACAAATTCTGAAAGATCTTGACAGCAGCATAACCTAAAATGAACTGAACTCAAATAATGCTAACTTCACGCGTTTCCAAGTGACTGTGAAAATTTAAATTTTATTTGCGCATGCGTATTTATACCTTAAGAATGAAAACTCTTTTTTTGTAATCGAGGCCATTTTAAATTTATCCATAATTAATATTCAAAAATTGTTAAATGTTGTTTCATTTAAACTTTGACTTTAATGATTAAACAACCCTTTTTGTTACAATTTCTCTTTTTGTAACAATATTGATAGATGGCGCTAAAACTATGTGTCAAAAATCAGGTTTTTAACTTAATAAAAAAATAAGATATTTTCAATAATTTGTTTATTAAAAGTGTTAAAAAATTACATTGATTAAAATTAGCACCAATTTCTAATTGAATACGTTAAGGCACTGCAAAAATATTCTTACTAAAATTTTATGAAGAAGCGAACGTTAATACATTTTACATTAAAAATTAATAAAATTAATTAAAAAAAAAGTTTACAAATTAACAGTTAAATTAATTCTGTTCGTTTCTTTGTGGTGTAGCATTATGTTGTTTTCTTAACCTCTTCTTTAACTCTGAAGGGAACTTATCGTAACATTTCTTACAAACAGGCTTCAGATCGTACTCAAAGAACTTCGTTTTTTGATTCATTTTTTGGTCGCATACTGAACAAGCGAAATGATGAACACACCAAGCTTTATTTAAAGCCGTAAAAACTACAAAATTAAAATAAAACATTAAATAATAACCTCAAAAATAAAAAATGTTTACCATCTCCAGCTATAACTTGATTACAAACGAAACACAAATTCCCAAAAAGTTGATGATAATGAGTTTCGCAATATGCCAAACCTTTTTTCTCATAATGGCGATGACCAAAGAAAGGTTTTTCACATTTAGCACAAACGAAATGCTAAAAAAAATTATAAATGATAATTTATAAGTCATTTTAATATGATTTGGGTTCAAATTACTTCAACATGCCAATGTTTTCCTAAAGCCGTAACGACTCTTTCTTCGATGGGACGTCTACATGCCCCACAAATTGGAATTCCCATCTTATCGTGACATCTCAAACAATATAATTCGTTCATTTCATTTGCTGTGTAACCAGGTCTGCCCCGAACTTCTCTTGCGTTTGAATCGAGCTCAATTCCACAATTTGTGCAATTAAAATGGTAAGGGTGGTAAACTTCCCCACGGAATTTTAAAGGTTGATCATCAATAATCCCACTAAAAAAATATAAACAATTAAATAATCTTTAAAAAATTCTTTTGTATAAATATTTACTGGCATTTATGACAAACATATTTTCCAAGTTTATCAGCTTTAACTTTTGCATTGCATTCATGACAAAGAGCTTGACCTGCATTTCGTATAAAACCGGTATCAGCAAGTTCCTTTTTGCACATGTGACAAAGGAAACATTTTACATGCCAATTAGCATTCATCGCTTTAATAACACGTCCAATGATGAATTCGCCACATTTTCCACAACATGGCGCAAATAAAACTTGAAAATCGTGTTCGCAATATTTACGACCTTCAAATTCGTAAAAAATACCATCTTTAAACTCTTGAAAACATTGGGCACAACTAAAATATTAAAATATTTACAACAAATTTTAATTAAGTTGAAGTGAAATGAATTTACACAAAACATTGTTGATGCCACAATTCTCCAGTTGAATTCACAATTTTTTCTTGTGGTTCAAAACCATCCCCACATCTTGAACAAACCATGTTATCCAAAGACATCCCTCTGGCGATTCTGTAAACATCCACAAAAATTAATTAATAATCATCTTTTTATATGTAAATATTAATTTAAATTAGATAACCTAAAACACACCCAATTTGTAATTTTTTAACCTCATTATTGGATTGATTGGAACTAGCAGTATTTTGACTATTTCTTGGATTAGCAATTATTAGTAAACCACTCCCGTTTTGCGAATGATATTCTATGTCTTGAGAAATTGTGTCATAATCGAAATATGTGGAATAAGTATCATCACTTAAATTCAAACTGTCCTTAGAACGTGCACGACGTTTATAAAGTTCACTTTCAATGTGCGGGGGCAAATTTGGAGTGCTAGGAGAAGCATCTGGGTGCGTTGGAAACTTATACATGATGCGAGTGAATGTGTTAAGAGGAAAAAATGAGACTAACTTTAATATCTTATCAGTCTTAATAACAAATATTAGTTTATCTGTGATAAGATGAAAGTAATTTTGAAAGCGGTTGTGGGATTGTTTTGAGACTTGCTTACCCGGGCATAGGCGTCGGAGACATTTTTAAAAAAGGGGGCTCTTCAAAATTATCAAAAAAACTGATCTTTTTTGGATCTTCTTTACGCTGTTCTTACCTATTCAGATTCGCTAATAATGTCGAGTGTTGGTGTTTGTAAAGGCGCCCCGCTTAAAATGGGGTCCTTGAATACGCCTTTTAACGTAACACGAAACGTAACAGTACAAGAATAAACCAATAAACAGAGCATTGCTATTTTTGGAAGATTTTTGACATTGACAGAAACACAGGTTATGGTGGGAATTTTAAATTGTTAGATTTTTTTTTAATTTACTTAAAAGCAATGGAATTTATTAAAAAAATAATTCAAAAAATTACCTCCTTATTCAATTTGACCAGTTTATAACTAATTTCATTTTAATATTTAATTCTTAAAGGAATCGTTATCAAATTTCCTTAAAATCTTGTGGTTAATGACTCAGTTTTAATTTTAAACGAATTTATAATAAGGCGTTTTTTATTTTATTAAGAAATTTATTCTTTTTGTTCACTTTTACGTATTTTTCATAAATTAAATATTATTAATTTTATAATATTTAAATTTTAAAGCGCCATCTAGCGTTAAAAGATTATATTTTGTTTGAATATTGATTATTTTCAACCAATTTTATTTTAGAATATTTAATCATTTTATAAAGTATCATTTATTAACATTAAAATATAAATTCAATAAAATTAATTAAATCCAATAAATACAAATACTCAGTAATTTATTTTAAAATTTATTAATCTTATAGCGCCACCTACCGTAACATTCACAACTAAAATTTTAACCTCAAAATTGAATAGGTTATGGAAGAGGTCGTGTTATTAAAAGTTTTATTTAAAAGTTTATTATAATCACTTAAAAAGATTTGAGAAATGATTACGAATAATTTATTTAAAGAATTATCGATTGATTCGCAAGAATTTAAAAATCATTGTTCTGTAATAGCTTCCGGTGAGTCTAAATTGCAATCAATTCCAACGATACAAATAAAAAAGCTAACTTTTGATCTCTTGGCCCGACACTAATTTTTATAAATTATAGCGATTAAGAATGGAGAAAAGCAATTTATAAACGCAATAGAGGACTTACTACCATTTCTAACAAGCTCCGTAAAAGAGGAACGACTCAAAGGAATTTTAATAATATCAAATATTTTAAATGATTTACCGAATATAAAAGAATCTGAATTAGCAGTTATAACAAATTTCTTTTGTGCAAGATTACAAGATCACCATGATATTGTTCCTTATGTTATTAAAGGTTTAGTTATTGTTTTAAACTCAAACCAGTTGCCTCAAGATGCTTCGAAAGTTATATTAAAATCAATTTTTGATAATGTTCCTTGTCAACAACAACAACAATCCGATCGATACAACATTTATTGCATTTTTAAGCAATTACATGAAACCAAAAAAGATGAATTAAAAGAGATGGGTTTAGATTTAATTTATGGAATTATTACTTCTATTGATGGTGAAAAAGATCCAAGGAATTTAACTTTTCTTTTTGAATGGCTAGAAGGGTTTTTAAATGATTACGAATTGGGGCATCTAAAAGAAGAATTTTTTGAAGTTTTATCTTGCTATTTTCCTGTTGATTTTCGATCAAATTCAGAAGATGTATGTTTCTTTTTTTTTACATTTTAAAGTTTTAAACCAATACTTTTAGGGTATAACAAGAAATTTGTTAGCTGATTTATTATCAAAATGTTTATGTTCACCCGGTTTTGGAGATTTTATAATTCCTTTAGCTTTAGAGAAATTAGATTCTGATTTAGAAACGGCTAAAATCGATTCTCTCGATGCTTTAGTAAGAAGTGGAAACTTAATTAAAAAAAAATTAAATTTAATTTTTTTAGGTTATAGCATCAAATAGGTACCCATCGAATTTATTGATGAAATATAGCACAGCAATTTGGGCTCCACTTCACAAAGAAATTCTATCTCCCCAAACAAAAATTGTTGAAAATAAAGCTTTAAAAGCTCTTTCAAGTTTTATGAAGTGTGTGTGTAAAGAGAAAAGTGATACTTTAGTTACAAATTTGATACGATCCATGATTGATAACGTTAAAGGGAATTTAACTCCCGATTCCAAGTTATTTGAGCCGAGTTTAAAAATTATTTTGGAGTCGGCTTCAGCTTCAGAAATGGTTTTAGAACAAATTTTAAAAAACATAACGCCGTTGTGGATCGATTTTTACAAATTAACACCAAACGTTGATTATAAAACGATAATTTTAGACGTTTTGAGCGATTTAAGTGTCATAAATTTCAAAAGCGAGGTTAGAATTAGCACCTGTCAAATTTTTGAATTGTTGTTGACAGCTTTAATGGCGGGAAATTTGAATTTAAAATTGGAATCTTTAAAATGTTTTAAGAAAATCGCCCAATTTTGTCCGGATAATGTAAGAAAAGTTTTATTTGAAAGCTTTAATGTTTTATTAAACGAAATTGATATCGATAAAGAAGTTTTGATGGATTGTTTTAAAGAATATGCAAAGTTTTATCCCGAAGAAACCAAAAATTTAATTATATCGTTGAAGACAGGAAAAGTTGATGTTTATTTAAACGTTTTGGGTGGCGTTTTGAATATAAAAGAGCTTTTATTGGTTTCTGTTGAAGAGTTGTGTTCTTTTACATTAATAAATGACAAAGAAATCTCTAAAATAGGATTAAACATTTTTCAAAAAGCTTTATGTGAAAGTGAAAATAATGGACTTGGAAATTATTTAAATCAAATCAATTTTCCGTTAAAATTAACAAATTGGTTTCTAATCGATTATTTAAGTGAGGAAAATGATCAAAATCATCAATACGATGCTGATTTAATGGATAATTTGTGGATGATTTTGTTTAAAATTGTTTCAAAATTAGATAAATATGAACAAATTAAAGTTTCCAAAGAAATTTTCAATGTTATTCAATTAAAACGAATAGAGGACGTTTTTGTTATTTATTTTGGGATTTTAATTGGACTTGAAGAGGTTCAAATAAACGATGAAAATTTTTTCAAATCGATTCTTAAAGTTGCTGTACAAACAGAAAATAATTATGTTAATGAAATATTAAGTAAATTAATTGGAAATTTGGTGAATAAGTCTCAAAATGGTGAACAACTGTATAAAAGTTAGGTTAAAAAATAATAATTTAAATTTTTTAGGTTATGTTCAATCGATAATTGGTGAATATTTAGATTTAAAGTTGAAATTATTTAATTCTGTGAATATTTTGAGTTATTTTATAAAAGGATTGGTGTTAAAAATGGATTATGAAAATGCTTCTGGTTGGATATCAAAAATTTTTGAGATTTCCCATGACAATAACGAAGCTTGTAAAAGTTTCCAAATTATTTTAGATGAAACAATTCCGGGTTTTAACGAGTTTTGTTTTATTAATAAAAGGTAAAGTTTAATAAAAGTTTATAAATAAATTATTAATTTAATTTTTTAGGTTATTATACAAGCAAAAATTCTTTTTGGAAGTTTTAAAACATCTTGAAATTAACTCGAAATCACCTAAAAATATTAATTATTTAACGATATCGGCATATTTATCTTTAGGAATTCCCGAAAGTTTATTAAACAATCATTTAAATTCGGTATTTATCCCAAGAAGAAATAATTTTTTTTGTATCTTACTTTTTTTTAAGGTTATGAAATGGAACATTTTATTTTTAAATCAATCTGAAGATAACTTAACAATAAATTCCTTGGTCATCTTAATTAACCGACTCTTAAAGAGTAAAAACGTCGATATTTTACGTTTTAAAAACGAATTATTAAGAGCTTATTTAAAATTAGCAACACAAAATCAATCGATGAAAATTAGAATAGAAGCTTTAAAAGGCGTTCGTGTTTTCACAGAAATATTCCCGATTTATGAGTTAGTAAATGAAAAACAAGAAGTGATAAGTTCTTTAAATGTTTGCATTGATGATCGTAAAAGGTTGGTAAGAAAAGAAGCAATGGAAACGAGGTTAAAATGGTTTTTAATAGACTCGCCAACATAAAAAATTAATTAATTAATAAAGTTAAATAATTACAATACATTATTAATATTTTTAACACATATTTTTAAATACACCTTTTAATACTTCATCCATGAAAGGATTTCCACCTAATTTTCCAACTTCCTTAGCGGCTTCTTCATGTAATTCTTCTAATTTAGATTTGGTATATGCAAAGCTGCCGTATTTTTCAAGCAAAGAGACGCAATAAGATTTTACTTCAACATCTTTAGTTCTTTGACGTAAAATCTCTATTTTCTTTTTTAAGAAAACAATGTTAAAAAAAAATTTGAGGTTATGTTAATAATAGTGTATTATTAAAAGAGGCCATGACTACTATTGAAATTGATTCCATAAATTTATTTTCTTATTATAAATAAATTTTTGAATAAAGTTTAAACGTCAATGTGACACAAATTCAATGTTACCAACTTCACAACAATTTGTCAAAATTAAATGTCAATTTTATGAAACGTCATGTTTTTTTTATGAAAATTAGTTAATTTATGCTTAAATCATAGGAAAAAAAGGAATTTATTTACGTTTTTTTAATGTCAAACCTTTAGAAAGTCCTAAAAAATTAAATTAAATGGCCGCTTTTTGAAATTTTGACTCATAAGGTAAATATTATGAGATAGTCATGGACAAAAAGATTTAAAGGATACGAATAATTTGAGTATCTTCTGGATTACTTCTAATTGCGTGTATTAATGGAAAACTAAATTTCCCCTCGGTGAGATCTTCACAAAAGCTTTTGTGTTGTTGAAATTCTTTTGAGTACAAATTGAGAAAATCATCTCGCATTTGGAAATAAAGCCCCAAAATTTCCGTTAGTTTTGAAAAATCTTGCTTATTCTCGCTGAATAGTTGCATAAGGCGGATAGCCAACATAAATAAACCTCCAGTTTCTAGAAAATTTCATCTAAAAATAGATTTTAAAACATATTAAGATTTACTTTTTTTTGTCATTTCGCAATAATCTTCCTCTGTGGGGCAAATAAAATGATCCCTCCAATAAATTTCCATCCCTTGACCTCTGTGTAAATCTAACAATTGTTCGGTGTATACTTTAGTAGCCTAAAAAAATTATAACTCAACTTATAAAAAAAAAATATTAACTTTTAATACTTCAGGGTGATTCAAATCGATACATTTTTGTAAAGCAATAATCATAACGTAATTAGCAGCATTTAAAGTACTTGGTATTCCATAAATAGAATGAGCTACTGGAATCCCCCTACGTAAAATTGAGTTATCTTCAATATCATCTAATCTGCAATTGTTAATGCAGTACCAAAAAAGATTGGGTTATGTTTTAGTTAATTTTTACTTACAATAAACTAGCGTTGTGTAACATTTCTATAATAGAATCGATTTCGTTTAATTTTTCTTCATCTATTTTTAACCAGTAATTAAAAGCCCTTGCTAATTTACTTCTAATATTCTTTCCAGGTACTTGTAAAATATATTTAAAAGGTTGCAACAACTTCTAAATAAGCAAGAAAAATAATTACAACAATAAATAAATAAACAAGTTAATTTTAAACCTCATCATGATCTTTATTTCCATTTTTACTGTATGGAATTTTCACTTCAGCAAATTGGTGCTCCATAATTTTTTAATCACTTTAACGTTAACTCCACCAAAAACACAAATGATCCCGTGAAACAATTCGCAGTGGGCTTCGTTAATTATATAAACATTAAAGGATTTATTTGTTTTAAAACTACGTAAACAAATCTAGAAAATTCAGAAAAGTGAGGTTAGAATACTTTATGTTATAATACTTTGATGAAGTATAGATGGCGGTTTAAATCAATTTGTTTTAAAGATATCTATAATGTTTAATGTTAATATTTGAAATCATGAGAAACACATTAAATGTTAATGAGTTAATGATGTGTTAACACAAACAGACGCTAATTTAATAAAATTAGAATTAAATAAAACAATTTGTCCCAATAATTTATATTTTTATAATATATGGAGAGTACTACATCAAATATGTTAATGTTATAATAATAACTGTTAAGTACACATAGTATTTGTTGGGATAGTGAAGCCGAAACTATAGACTTGTAATAGATTACATTAAGATATTTTTATCATTTCGTTTATAAAATCGGTGGAAAATTTCAGATTTTTATTATAAACAACGAATTTTTTTAAACTGCGTTATCATTCGGAACGTTTTGGTGTGTTATATTAATTTAGCATTAATTTTTTTTCTTTCACCTTAATCTCTAGCTAAAAACAACAACAATTTTGAACGGTTTTTATTTATATTATGTATACGATCACAAACAACGACTTTTTTTTTGTATTTGGTCAACAAGAAGCGAAAATACTGTTGTATAATAACAATAACAATAATCGTTCGTTTATAGTTTCATTATCATTATTCATTTATTTATTATTAATGTAATTATTATTTGTATAGTTAATTTTTAATCGCTAATTAATTTAAGTGTTATCGGTAACTCTCTTTGGTATATTTTTTTTGTATGCAAAAGAATAAATAAATTTCGTTGTTAACGAGATAAATTATATCAAAACTTTTTTAATAAATTATATTGTTATATAGGCATTAACGATTTTACTATTTTATATTGTCAATCACCAATAGTTTAATTAAATAATAATTTAAATAAGAGTTATTTTAATTAGATAAAAAGTGGAAGTAAATTGATGATATGTGAATTTTTTAGTTTTTTTTCAATCACATCGCATTTCTTTTTTAATCTTACAATCGATTCTATTTATTTTAACGAAATAAATCAACAATAAATAATTAAGCGGCGATTATTTCTTAAAACTATTTCCAAATCACTACGGTTTTTAATTCTTGTTTATTTTTTTTAATTCAATTCTTACTAGAAACACACACCATTATTTATTCTTATATTTCATCAAATATCGATTAATATCAATGCGGAGAAAAGTTGGTTAATTTAACTTATTCAAAAGTCTCTGATTCTTGTTGGACCAATTTGAACCTTCTCGGACTCTTTACAGCCATCGATCCATGCCCTTCGAACGATATTCGACCTTTATGCTGTAAATAACGGGTTATATACTTTCCAACAAGCTTCTGAGGACGCAATTGATACTCGTTCAAAACTTCTTTAGGCGTTGAAACCTTCAAAGAAATCAAAATCATATTTTATACACTAACTTTGTTTAATTTAATTTACCTGATCGCCTTTAAGTCTATCGAGTAACGCAACACAAACGATTGCTGCTTTAATTCCTGCGTGATGTGTTAAAGCCGCAAAAGGAACACTTTCCATCTCAATATTAACAACACCGGCTTCTCTTAACCCGTTAAGATAATTCAATTTTTCATTTTCGGTGTATTCGCAAAACGCCCCATCCAATCGCGCTTGTTCTTCGTAAAAATCAAAAGCACACATTGTTTTTCCACTGACTGTCTCGTAAGGATCCTCAACGCTTGATAAAGCTTTAAGCTCCCGGATAATTCTTTTATCGAGCTTGGCTGGTCTTCGAAGTGGTTTTCCCAAAATTGGCTTAAACATTATAATTAAAAATCACTAAATTAAAAGATTCATTTATTTACCACTTCGTAATAATTTCTTTGCATTGCATCAACACAATCTTCAGAAATAACTACAGTTCCTCCTTCAACCCCGATTCCCCCGCAAGTGCCTATCCTAAAGAAAATTGGATCTTTAGCTTTCGCGTGGTACATCAATTTAATCATTTCGTGGAGTAAAATACTTATTGAAGGAACCCCCATTCCATGCTAAAATTAATTATTTAGATTTAAGTTTGACGAGAGGAGAGTTTATTAAAAACTTACAGAAACGGATAAAACTGGTCCTATTTTAAACATGCTGTATCTATAAGAATACTGGCTGATATCGGATAAACACGTCCCAGTTGGTAATTTGTGCCCAATTTCCTTCATAATATAATGAGCGAAATCTTTCATTCGTTTCGGCGTTCCACCCATACAAACAAACTTTAATTTATAAATTAAAAATCTTTAACAACCTTTTTAAACATTATTTTACCTTCACATCACCAAACATTTCCACTAAATCATGGGACTCACTTCCTAAAGCCAAATGATATAGAATATCTTGATCCATAAGCTCGATATTAGGATTTCTTATCCGAACAGTTCCGTCAGTATACCTTAAAAATTAATTTATTTTAAATAGATTCTTTAATAACTAGTTCAGAACATTAACGTTATTGTATTTTGTGTTAGAAATGACATCAATCTCGATATAGGTATACAAAATTGAACAATGTAATATTCAACCCATTTGAATTCAGGCGCTGAAATGTATCAAAACTCGTGAGTGTACCTATAATTTATGTTTTAGGAAATTGAGTTGTTTTTGTTAAGGAAAATTAAAGTTAATTCTTTAATTACATATCTATATGTATTAAAAGTCAAAGTTAAATGATGTAACTTTGACGTCTAAAGAGTTGTAAAATAGGTAAAACCTTGTTTGTGTGTAAATTAAGTAAATAAAATAAAAATGTTGTTACATAAATAAGTGGCGCAATTCTAAACTAAATTAACGATAAACTCCTTTTAAGGTGATTTGTAACGTTGGGGCAAGACTTTAATGAGACCTTATTACAGTGAATTGGTTGGTTTAAGAGAAATAAAATTGTGTTTTAAAAGTAAGTATACAATAAATGAAAACAAATAAAAGTTTTTAAGATAAATTAGATTACTTAGAAGTTCAAGTAGGTGTAAACACCTACACATTAAGTTTTAAGTACAAGTTCAACAAGTTTAGATTAATTTCTAACAAATATTATCTTTTAAAAGGAAAATTTTTGTGAATCTTGAATTTGTTATGTTAAATTATGTTTTGTTAAACAATTTAATGTTTAGGTTGATGATAAAAAATAATGAAGATTTATTTGAGGTTAGATCTAAATGTCAATTTTTGACACATGTCAAATTGTTAAATCATGTAACTTTGACGTCTAAACAGCTGTGAAAGAGGTAAAGCCTTGTTTGTGTGTAAATGGAGTAAATAAAATAAAGGTGTTTGTTACTTATTCTATCTAAATTAACGATAAATTCCTTTTAAGGTGATTTGTAACGTTGGGGCAACACTTTGATGAGAGGTTATTAAAGTGAGATAAAAAGTTTTTAAGATAAGTTAGATTACTTAGAAGTTCAAGTAGGTGTAAACACGTACACATTAAGTTCAAGTTCAACAAGTTTAGATTTTTTTTTTGAATCTTTAATTTGTTCTGTTAAATTATATTCTTCTAAACATGTAGTTCATTTTTTTTCTATACCTGTCAAATTGTTGTAAAGTTGGCAAAATTAACAGGGAGTTTTGTTTTATCATGTTTTGAAGACAATATGTCACATTGACGTTTGAGCTTTCGTTATTCAAAAAGAAAAAAAGTGTTGTGGGGTGTTTATTTGCCATTTATTTACCTAGAAAAGGTATTTTATTCTATTAATTACTTTGTAGCACGTTTTTACAACAAATATGTACTTCGTGAAAATCGTATTTATCTAAAAATTTATTAGTATTTTAACCTCAACTAATTAGTTACTGAAAATGTTACTAAAAATCATGAAAACAACATAAATTTTATAAGGGTCCTAGATAATACCAACAGAAACCCTAAATAATTTACATTGACAAGTATTATAGAAAAAAAACGAACTATATGTTTAGGTTGAAGATAAATAATAACGAAGATTTATTTGAGGTTAGATCTAGATGTCAATTTTTGACACATGCCAAATTATAAAAAATCACATCTAATTTATTTATGAGAATGAAGAAACGAATTTTGTACTAAATTAAACCTTATGTTGTATTATTTTAACCATACATATGTTATGGCACAACATATGGCTTAATAAAAATAAGTCGAAAAAAAAATTTTATATTTAGATGCAACAATTTTGACACATCTCAAGTTACTAAAAATCTAACCATGAAGTAACGATTTTTAAACTAATTTAAAGTTTAAATTATGTATAACCATTTAAAGTATGTATTATATTATAAAATATACCGTGTCGATAAAGAAGGTGAGTTTTTTTTAAGTAAGGTTATATTTAGACTAAAATGTTTGACTCACCTAAAACTGTTAAAAATCATATCTTATAAGAATGAAAGAACAATTTATATACTAAATTAGAGCTTGAATTATGTTGTTTTAACCGATTTATTATAACATATAGGTTGATAATAAAAAAAGTTGAGAAAACTTTTTTTTTAGTGAGGTTATGTTTAGATGAAGAATTTTGACACATTTCAAATTAAAAAAACTAAAAAATTATTAGAATGTTATTATTATTAGCATGAACAAAGGACTTTTATAGATATTATCTATAATAAATTGGTGATAAAAAAATGTTTAAGTGTGGTTTTCATTTTTGACACTTCAAACTATAAAAAATCATATCTAAGTTATTTATTGGAATAAAAAAAGGATTATTATACTAAATTAAAGCTTAAATTGTGTTCTTTTAAAATGTTTATTATAAAATATAGCTTAATGATAAAAAAATTGACTAAACAAAAATTTAGATTCCTGTAATTATAAAAACTTATATCTTCTTTATTTATTGGAATAAAGAAATGATTGTTATATAAAATTAATTGTCATCTTCTTTAAGATTATGTAATATAAATTCAAATAAGATTGCGTTAAAAAACAGTTTTTGTTGTAAATTATTCTTATTCAAAATATCGATTGCTGCTGGGAAATACATACAGTAAAACAGCAGGTGGTGATATCCACAAGGGCATCGAAGGGTTGAATAAAAACCCTCCACGTAGTCAAACGCCGCCCTTAACCGTTAAAACCGAATAAAACCAGCCAAAAAAAAAATCTTTTAAAAATTCATTCTTTCTAAAAGATAATTTTCCATATCGATTTTTAAAAAGTAAAGGGGGCGGTTTTTGGGAAATTTGGAAATAAATTTATTAATTAAACTTACTCGTCTCTAACTTCATCGTCTGAAACGGACATTGTGAACGATTTCTTCGTCAGATGCGATGGTTTTTCACAGAAAATTGTTCACTACAATGTGATATAATTTAAAGGGGCGCGTCGAGGAATAAACGACGTGATCGACCCGAACTGTATACAGCGTCTGTACTACCGTTTTCCTCTCTCTACCCAATTCACGCCGTCCAATCCGTTTCAAAAACGAAAGATCTGCGCATAAAAGTACGAAAAAGTGAGGTCTACCTAGGTTATTGTTCGAAATTGGTCAATTTTTACGGTAACACCTGCATCACATCACATCACATCACACAACAGTTAATAAGTTTTTAAAATCAATTTATATATACTCAAAAAAAAAAAAGCGATAATAAAGATATTGAGATAACTATTTTATGATTGCATTAAGATTGTAAAAAAATAAATTAATGTGGTAATTGAAATATCGCAATTTTGTAATGATGAATAGTGAAATCAAAAGGTTATCAAAAACCACGACTTTTACTACTTAAAAGTATAATTTATTAGTTATTTGGTAAGAAATCGTTTAATCAAAAATCGAGTCATGGTTAATAGCAAATAGTTAAGGGTTTCAAGTAACAAGATAACAAACAATTTTTATCAAACTATAAACAATGGTGATAACATGAGCAGCATACAATAATAAACACACCTTTTTTACGCTGATGTCACAGGAAATTACCAAAGATAAAGTTGGAAAAAAATTTTTCGTGAATAACAACTTACTCAATTCCTACGAAGTGATTTTAGTTGACTTAGAGAATTTCATTTTACAATTCTTAAAATAATTATCAAGCATAACATTCCGAAGATTAATTAATGAATGAATAACGGAATTTTTACAATGAATATATAAAAAAAGTGGATTACGTTCTACATCGTTGCGGTTTTAATCACTTTGGAGCGGTATTTGTAATTTTATGCAATGATAAGTTAACTTTTTTATGTGTTGAAACGAAGAGAATTGATGATATGAAGAGAACCATAAAACTAAACAAAAATAACAACAAAAAATTAAAAGATAAATTAGAACGAGGACATCGATACTTTTAACGATGAAGATTAAGATTTGATTTAAAAAACTCTCAAGAAAAAAATCACGAATGTAGATAAAATAATTACATGTTTTATTTGGAGTACTTCTTGATAGGAATCGTGTGAGGTACGAAAATAAACACGAAAATTGGGTTATTGTTACTTAAGGATAAGTGTGGATTGACCTTGATCGTACGAGTTTCGTTAAAACGGAGAAAAACTTGTTGAGTAATCATCTTCATCACTCAGCCCTCTGCGTCCACAGCTAGACATAGGCCTCCCCTATTTCCGCCCATTTCTTCGTGTTCTGTGCTGCCTGGAACCAGTTCAAGTTGGTGACATTAGGTCATTAATTTTTCTAGTTGTCAATGTGACAATTTTTGTCTATGGATGTTTAAACATGTTCTTAGCATCGAATACAAGGTCCACAATGATGAGGATATTGAACACTGAGCAATTTCTCTTATTTTGGGAGGTGTACATGAAAAATTTTTTTCAGGTGAATACATTTTGTGTTTTGACAGTTTCTAATTGTCAATTCAAATTTCTATTTTCAAGTGTTACGGTGTTACCAACTGCTGCATACCTATTTCCCTACATTGTCAAAATTTGTTTTATTTTTGTTAAAAAAATAGGATAAAAACGCAAATTACAAAAAATAGCATAAAAAACACGTTTCATAAGACTTAAAGCACTCATTCATTAAAAAACTCGTGGCTTCGCCACTAATAATTTTTGAAACTTTACTTGTGGAATGTCGCCATCTATTTACGACTAACTCAATTAATTTGAAAACTTATAAGAAAACGGTAGTTAAAAGGTAAGGTAAAAATTTTCGCCGAGAGATGGCGCTAAAAATCATTTTTGTCAATATGATTATCTTTACTAATAGAAAGCCCCTCTCGTCGGATTCGGATCTCCCGCGTCACATCCGGCCATTGGAGGGTTCGCTTTCTATTTCCTGAACCGCGAAAACCGGGGACGGGGTGTGAAAGACATGCGTACTGGGACCCCTTCTTCTACGACAATCACCGGTCCGATACAATATCCAACAACCCTAGAACTAGTACGTCACTAACAGCATTACGTGCGGACACCTGTATTAAATAAACCGAAATAATCAAACAGAAAAAACAGATTAGATAAAAAACGGTGTGAGTTGTGAGTGAGTTTTAAAGCTTAGTTATAATTTTTAGAATCTAAAGGAATTAAGAAAAGTTTAAAATTAAGATGTTATCTGATACGGAACCCGAGATGCCCACGTGGAAAAAGGAATTGATACTGAGGAGACGAAGTAAATCTTCGACTACAGCACAGCTGGTTGCCCCCCAGACGTCGACATCAACTAAAGTACATCAACCTAACTCAACGTGCTCCTCAAGCAGTTCGCCTTCGAGGCAACAACATCACCAGCAGGAGCTCGAGCTCAGTAGTCCTACGAACGGCAGCGCGGAACCACGTCTCGTTAACGTGCGATGTGATTTATTGTCAATTAAAAGTGCAGGCGATAAAATGGTTCAAGAAAGAATTTGGTCGGACCGAGATGAGGAAACGTCGGAGACATCCAACGACTTCGATAGTTCCGAAGAATTAAAATATGGTCCAGGTATTGTAAGTAAGTTGAAGAACCGCTATTTGAGCTTGACCTTGCGCGAAACCATGAAGACCAGACCTTCAATCTTAACTATGCGAAAAGCTACTTCTTTAGAACACATTCTCGATGATAACGAAGAAGACGAGCTAAGCAATAATAAAAACAAAAACCTTAATCACCAATTTAGCACATCTAATGGTTACTCAAAACAAATACCAAATCGTTATAAATCGGCGGCGAAGAAACCAGATATGAAAAGAGCGCGATCCGTTGAGTATATCTCTTCAAATGCGTCGTCGAACATCGATAATTTAATGGTTGATGTGAAACCCAAAAGGGAATCACTGCACGAAGATATGCTAGACGCAAACAGGAAAGAGGAAGTTGATAAGAAAAATGAAATAAACGATATAAAAACGTTTAGTAATAATTTAAACACGAAAGTGAATAGACCGAAAAGAATCCAGCCAATTATGGCGGAGAAAGAAAAACCTCCTTTTGATGTTGTTAATCAAACGAAAAAAATGTTTGAACGACCAGAACTTAGAACGAAAGCTCCACTACATACTGGGGAAGTTGCCGCGAAAGTTGCCACGTTTAAAGATATTATACAAACGAAAAAACCGGTTGTTAAACAAAAACCGATTTTACCGATTCCCGCTAAAAAGGAAGTCGAAAAAATGAACACAAGAAAAAATAAATCAACACCGAATGTTCCTACTTTAAGATCACCAGAACCTAAAGTTAACAAAACTTTGTCTTCGCCGATTCAAATCGTTAAAAAACCGATAATAGAAAATCTTCCATCACAAATTCCGGATGTTTCATTGGTACAAAATCAACAAAACAATGAAACAAGAAAATCTAGTCTAACGGATACACCAGATTTAATTGTTCATTCTAGTCCAAAACCACAAATCGAAGACATCAAAGAAATTAAAATACAAAGAAACGGGTTTTCCTCGACCGAATACGCTTCATACTCATCATCCGATGATGAAACGAAAATTTCGAATCGACATCAAGACGATGATGTAAAAACGATTCCAAAAAATCAAAACTTTGGTAACCCGTTAATTTTTGATTTTTCATCAAAACCAAAAATACCAAATCATCTCCCCGTTTCTCACGATAACAATCAAAAAACGGCAAAACTAAAAAGATCCTCACCGGTTACTTCAACTAACCATCAAAAACTTCCCCCTAAATCCAGGCAAAAACCCCCTCCTCCCCCTCCTTTAACGCAACCTTTAACCGTAAACGTACCTATTGAGGAACCCTTAAAAATTGAAATTACAACCACTCCACCGATTATTAATAACAAAATTTTATCGCCACCTCCTCCCGAACGTAACGATAAAGTGGTGGCGAGTGAAAAATTGGAAAACTTGAAGAATATCGTAAAAAATTCCGAAGTAATTTTGGAACAATGTTCGCCGAAAAAAGTGGACGAAAAAGTGGTCGAAAAAGTGGACGTTAAAATTGTTGATAGCGCGAAAAAGAACAAAGACGATGTGCCAGTGTTTAAAGTGTTGAAACGTATTCCAAGGAAACAGGAACAGCAGAACTGTTTGGTTTTTGATTTTACAACGAGGAAAGAAGTTCCGGATTATGTTGCCAATGATGTGAGGGTACCGAAAATGCAAAAAGTTAAAAAACCAAAGGTAAGAAAGTCTATTTTATATTTTATGTCCTGTACTTTCTGATTTTGACGCTTCTGCGAATGTTGAGGCTTAATAATTACAATTAGTTTCAATCTGGACTCCAAAAGCTCTAATAATTTATTCATTTGGATTTTGATTTCTGATATAAAGTACCATAAAGAATCAGAACCGGGCAAAACGATTATGTAGTTGGATTTCCAAGTTAGTGTGCAAAAAAATGCTTTTATAATCGTTTACAATCTGCTCTTTGTTTCAACAAAACAGCGTAACATACAGTACCTTTTCAACATGTCGGATTTACTATTGGAATTTGATTCTATAGTAACTTAGCTATCAAAATATTGGAGTAACTAAGATTTGGAAGTTGGATGGAAGTAACTACCGGTTTTGACATATTGCTTCAAACTTTTTCCTTTCCCTGTCATTGGAAAGATGGGTAATAAAGGATATTAATAGGATCTTCTCCACAGCCCCGGATCCTGAATTTTTTTTAGGCGGGGCAAAAACTGATAAATGCCGCCCTCGCCCACTTATATTTATTTTTACCTTTATCATTTATCATCTATATAATTTCAGCTATCAGATGTCTACTAATTGATTGACATTTGGACATAGCCTACATAGGCCTTCCGGAAAGAATGCATCCATCGCTGTTCTTTCTGTGTTAAGCCTATTTATTTACAGATATATAGACATGAACGTGTAGGATATATATTTTATACACAGCACAAGATAGGATTTAAAATAAAAATATGTATAATAAAAATAAAAATCAAATATATTATTGCATTTGTGAATTGAAATTAAAATTTTACTCTTCGAGCTTTTTGTTCAGCAAATAAATCTATGGCCTTGTCATAATTTATCTCGTGTGCAATTCGATTTTCTATCGCTAAGATTGCAAGACTCGATAAGCGTTCCTGGCACATAGAAGATTGCAAATAATTTAAAGCAAAATTCAAATTCAGCATGGTAGCACAATTAAACCTCTTTTTAATTTCTGATATGATTCGATCAAATACCATCATTATTACTTTAGAAAATAGTTGAACAGGTTGGAATGTTTGTAATTCGTCTTCACACATCCCATCGAAATGTTTTTTACGTTTTGGAATTCGTTTGTTTTGCAAAATAGGGTCAACATCACTTTTTTAAGCAACTTCTTCAGCCTCTTTTATCCAATATTCCATTGGATTTTGTCTTATTTTTTGCAAAGTTTTGAGCAGACTATCTATTAGTGCGACGGAACGGGCAAGGATAATATCTTCGGGAAGCAAGGATAATTATTCGCCCAAATAGTTAAATTAAGAATAAATTTAAAATCCTTTATAGCAGTTAAGAGATAAACTGCCTCGTATTTAGCTTCTGGAGCATGAGATGCTGGAGCATGCTATTTCTGGCAAATTATGTAATTCACAGCAACATATTTCGCCGACCATCTCGTCTGACTACTTCCTTTTAAATTTGTTTTAACGTATTTTTTCATAATGTCCCACATAGTAGTGGAGCCAACAAAAAAGCAATATACTTTTTGAATCAGTCCAAATAAGTTAATAGCTTCCTGGCATGATGAGGCAGAATGAACACATACAAGATTTAAGGAGTAAGCCAAGCACGGTACGTACTCGGCCAGCTCATTCCTTTCTGCAATCTTGGCTTGTACTCCTTTATGGATTCCAGCCATATTGGACCCATTATTATATCATATATATATTATTATTAATCATCAACTGCCAATTTTTCTAAAATCTGTTCACAAATGTCCTCTCCTGTCTTTCCAGCAATTTCTATGAAATCAATTAAACTTTCTTTTATTTCACACACATCGACAGTTCTTTTTACATATCGAATTACACAATGCAGATGTGGTGGTAGAAGACGGTTTCTGGTAAATCTTGCAGCACGCATTTTTTGTCTTAGAAAATATGAGTCAAGATCTTTGAACCCTTTCGCAATTAGCCAACGTCCTGTACCACATAGAACATACTTGTACTATTATTTATTCCGTGGTCAAAGTTAAGTAAATGATAAGTTGTCTATTCGTCTGTAAAGTGTGAATTTGGCCGCCCAGGGCGTAGACCCCGGCTTGCCCCCCCCTCCAGATCCGGGGCTGCTTCTCCATCTATTCTTCAATACCCACAAGTACTCATCGTTGGATCATTTGGTTTTGTATAATTCTAGAATCTGTAAAATTGTCTCCTTTTAATATTGACCAGTCTGGAGCCAGTATCATACAAATTGTGATTACATAAGTTAATTACGTTCAAGACTGTCTAATCCTGTGGGGATGACTCAAAGCTGATGTATACAAAGTTCAACCTCGAAACAAAGTTACAACCTCGAATTCTTCAAGCTTTAACTGAGATCGTCATCACTGGAATTTCGCAAGATTCCAAAAACTTCTTTGAAAGGCGCAATTTGTGCATTGCTCGCCAAGAGAATGAACGATATTATTTTAAAAACATAAACTACATTTTGCTCCATCATGTATAAGTTCGTTTTTTTTCTATAATACTTGTCAATGTAAATTTTTTAGGGTTTCTGTTGGTATTATCTAGGACCCTTATAAAATTTATGTTGTTTTCCTGATTTTTAGTAACATTTTCAGTAACTAAATAGTTGAGGTTAAAATACTAATAAATTTTTAGATAAATACAATTTTAACGAAGTACATATTTGTTGTAAAAACGTGCTACAAGGTAATTAAATAGAACAAAACACCTTTTCTAGGTAAATAAATGGCAAATAAACACCCCACAACATTTTTTTATGCGCCTTTTCTTTTTGAATAACGAAAGCTGAAACGTCAGTGTGACATATTTATTTCAAAACATGATAAAACAAAACTCCCTGTTAATTTTGCCAACTTTACAACAATTTGGCAGGTATTATAGAAAGAAAATGAACTATATAAAGTTTTCTCTATTAATTTATTAGAATAACATAAACTATCGATAAGATCACTAAAAACGATAACTAATACAACAAAATTAGTTAATTGCATCTGAAACTTTAACAAGATGACGAAATGATAAAATTCTATAGATATGATAACATTTTTATGAATTTTAGACATTATTTTGTAATTAAGTTTCGTAACAAACAAAAAATACGTTAATTTTAGAAATTACTCCAAAGATCCTCATCGACAAAAAAAAAGTTGTAAACGTTTGGTTTAACCTTGAATTTTTTTTAATGTTTTGTATCCTACTAATGTCGCAGATGGTTAACATATGCGACAAAACAATTTGAAAGCCATCTTTATTCGATTTTAAAACTTTTCTATGAATTCTTTGTACTAAACATTTTAGTTATTGCTTTTAACCTTGGTGTTGTGCGGTTTTATTTACGCACGATGAGTAACACAACTGTTATTCAATACGCTCGTCTTATCGTTTTTTTTTTCTGATAAAGATATTGGTTTTTCGAAATTAGACTGGAATAAGTTGATTAAAATTGAAATAAAAATCCTTTGTATACAAAATGAGATTTTTTTGCAAAAAATTATTCGATTTTGTTATCTAATCAATTTCAGGAAAAATAGACTTCATGTAACAGCAACTGAAGTTAAAGATTAGATATGAAAGTATCTCTTTTTCAGCCCCAACATGAAAATTAATACTTTTTTTTGTATCGAGATATAAACTTAATTAAAGTTATGGTAGTAATTATAGTAATCAATACGATGAAAGTAACTTGGTTAGTGGGTTATAACTTCTTTATGTTGTGAATTTATAACTTACTTTAGTGTAATTTTAATGAGTCGAGTTCTAAAACCTGTTAGAAAGTGTAAATGGCCTCAATTGTTGATCGTATTTGTAATACAAATATTTTATATCATATCAGAAAATTTTATAAATTTAACTAGAACAAGTAAAAGTTTTTTTTGTATTAAAAAAACACGGATCAATTCGATTTCCTTCATGTTGAAACGAAAAAGTAGGTCGTCATTGACTCTAATGGTATCAAAATCGTTAAGTATTCATAATCCGACCTCTGCAATTTCTCTCGACGTTCGTTTCCACGTGAAAATAACACCGCTTGGGGCCCTGACAAGGCCGTTAAAACATTCTACATATTTCCAGGTCAATTAACTTTAATGCAAACTAAAACAATTTTAAAATAAAAATTTTATGAAAAACTAATCAAATGAAACAACGTTTGTGTGAAAACTGCACTTATACAACAACTTTCACCTCGGGTATTTAAACCAAGATTGGAAATGTCTACTTAGAAAATTTTTAAAAAATTACTAAGCAAGATAATTACACCAACTTTTTTTTATATCAATCATCATGGATTAGAAATAATATGTCACGATATTTCAACGTTTTAAATGTGACTCATAAGTTATTAGGAAACGGTGTGTATCAAAAAATCAATAACGTTGCTCTACTTGTGACATTTTCCATTGAACTGAAACGTTTAATTGACCGGAACAAACCCGGGAATGTAGAGAAACATTTCCTAATTCCACAATAGTTTTTTCCTATTTCATTTTTTTTTTTTAATATAACTTAAATCATCCTATGATCTGGCGTTTTCTTTGAATTAAAAGTCCATGTTAATTCTCAAGACGCGTGCATTGAATTTACATAAAAGTTTTGCATAATAATAGTGTTTCTTTCTTTCTATTTCATGCAAAACAGCTTTAGCCATATATTTTTAAAAACGCATGTCAATTTAATTATATTGATTTGGATTAATCTTTTAAATTATTATTTTTACAATATTCTACTATTTTTTGTTGACTTATGAGTTATGAGTATGACTGCAGTTATTCTTGGAATATTCCATTTGTTACATTTCACATAAAACATCGATCAGCAACGGATTTTATTTGCGACCTCCTATATTTTAGTTGGAGTTTAGTCAGCTAATCCAAAAAGTTATCAAAGATTAGGTTATAGGCAAAGTTCTAATTACCTAAATATTAAAAGGCTTTCATTCTAAAGATTAATAATGTGATTAACCTCATCATTTCGTCATTCTCCGCATAGAAAATCCAAAGACAACCTTTAAGTTAGACAGGTATTTATTTAGAACTAACACTAGACGTACGTCTCTTAAGACGGCTAAATCCAAATGTTTCTAGTTCTAGATATAGTGTTGCGATCAGTGATGGGCGCTGGGTAAATACCCGGCGGGTAGGTATTTATAAAATGGGTACTTACCCCGGCTCAGGGTAAATACCCAAACAGTACATATAAAAATGATACAAGTAAAAATATAACAGATTCGGACAAAAGTGTAGAGCAGTGGTTCCCAAACTTATTATGGCTACGCACCCCTTCTTAAGCCAAAATGTGATCGTGGACCCCCTAGTCAGTGCCGTGCTACTATAACTGTTTTTACATACTGTCATACATATAAAAACATTTTGATATTTAAAACAACATTAAAAAAATATATTCCTGTTTTAAAGATAACATTTTTTAATGTGATGGGTGAGCCTGATGAGTTGTGATCAAATTGTTTATGTTTAGCTCTATATTTGTAAGCAATAACCGCAAGCCACCACGAGCACTAACATCAAGTCGGTTTTTTTTTTCGCAATCAGGTTCATAACCGCACTAAATCTACATTCCATTAACTACGAAGACGAAAAAGCTATTAAAAACTTTTCCGCAGTGTCCTATACTTCGGGATACAAAGTTGGTATCTGTTTTTGTAACCAACATTTTTCATATCCGTCAACAAACATTGGTTTAAATTCTTCGTTTGTACTTAGCTCGATAAGTTGGTAATGAATAAACACAGAGCTAGTTGATTTGTATGTAAAAGGGTCCAACACCCAATCGGTAATAACCAAACGAAGAATGTCTTCAAATCTTTTTTTGAAATCTAAGTGAAGTGCCTCCAAGTGCTGACAATATACAATCACAATTTTGTAACTAAAAAGGTTTTGGAAATTAAGAGAATTCTCCTCTTCCCAAGTTTTCTTTATAAAAAAAAGTTTTTTTACGAATGCAGATATTACACTTCTTGTTTTTATTTAATTCAACCGATCGCCTTGTAGCTTCAAATTGATTTCGTTAAATTTGGCAAACATATCATTTCTTGAATGAAATAAATTAAGTCGCAGATCATTATCTTCAGTTTCAAAGAATTCTAAAACGTAATCAAAAAGTGAGTAAAATCTATTCAAACATGCACTTCTAGACAACCAACGTACTTCTGTGTTCAGTAGCAAACGATTGTAACCTTCATCATTCTCCAGGCAAAGTTGAGCAAATAATCTCGCATTCTTTTTGATTTTATTAACTGCTCTAATCATATAATTCAGTGAGCGATGTAAGATTTTTTGCTACTAAATGTTGTCGATGAATGACACAATGTACTGTTAATACATTCGGTACTGCTTGTTTTAAATATGCCAGAAAACCTCGATGGCGTCCTACCATTGCCGGAGGACCATCAGTAGCAACGCAGATGATATTACACAAAGGAATAGCTTTTGCTTCAAAAAAATATTTAATTCCTTAAATATAATTTCATCTTTTGTATCAGTTTCCAAACATTTCACAAATCATAATTCTTGAAATATTTTTTTGTCCTTTACAAATCTTACATACGCTATACTATCTTACAAATTTAGTTCTTAATACACTTCACAGACTTACATATACTACAACAACTGACTACTGTTCTTACTTTTTGCGGACCCCCCAACGCTAGCTAAAAACCCCCGAATTAATTTTATTTTGCTACGGACCCCCCGAGAACTTACAGGGACCCCAAGGGGTCCGTAGGAACCACTTTGGGAACTACTGGTTTAGATGATTCTGATAAAACTATTTTAGAATCGATGTTATCTTCTTCCCAGTCATAATCACTTCCCCCATATCATTCGGGATATCATTTCATTTAAAACTTTTACAAACAATTTTATTAGATGACTCACAATAAAAGCAGCAAAATCTCATTAAAACTAAACGGTTTATTAATAAATTCTTTATAATTAGCAATTTATATTCGGTCTATTTGCAATTCTAATTGCAAAAGGAACTCTTTTGTTACCAATTTTAAATCTAATGACTCATCCTTTTGATATAATTTTTGTATTTTTTTTTTAGACCGGCGAAGCAGGAATAATTTTATTACCTGGTGCCACGTGGGAATCAACATCTCTCGATGTTGATGACGACGACTGGGAGAAATCGCTGGATGGACCACCAAGTCCTTTATTGGTTACTTTTGTTAACGATAACGTCGTCATTGACGGCAAATCTAGTCTTAACCAGAAAAAGAAAAAACCAAAGGTAATTATTAATTTTTCTTATAATTATTAGTTTTATTGTTGTAATTAAAGTTTGAAGAAGACGAACTTTCTCTACTACACCTCTCCTTTAATCGGTAATTGGCGATCCGATTAGTTAGTCCGAAAATAAATAGACAAGTTGACACTTTCCCGGAAGTTACTCACCCTACTTACTATAAACGAAGAATGATTTTAATGGAAGGCCGCGTTCGCGATTTAATACGAAAACGGATGTTGCTACATGGTAATCTCGACCCAAAAATTGTACAGGTCGAGGACGAATTAAAAACATATTCTAAATCAAATTTTATTTTTAAAGCCCGGAAATAATGACCTAAATTCCAAAAACGTTTAGATACTCTATATTTGGTAAACATAAACAATGAACTAAGAAACTTCCACTCGATAAATAAATAGATATCAATAAGTGGAGAAATAAAAATTCTTGATTGGAAAACTTCTTGATCAATCGACTTTCTACGATTAATTGTGAGGATTTATTTTCTAACAAATCTAATACAATGGGAGACGTCGATATCGATTTTAATTGAAATAAACCTGAATATAATAGAATTTAATGGAGTTGGGTGGTTCGGCCAGGTTTGCAGACAATTTTATTGATCTGGGTGATGACTCAACCAATTCTCCTCCTACTCATTTTCACACAACTCCAACACACCCTCCAAATCTATTAAAACAAATTATTTATCATTATTTTTTTTTTCAGCAACGTATAAAATTTTTCGATAAACACATAAATAAATAGAAACTATACCGCAATTTCGTTCCGGTCTTTTGAATCTCTTCCGGTTACTTTTACCGCAATTGTGTGTTACCGGCAATTTTAAAAATGTTTTAAAACTAACCGAACAAACACCGGCGAGACGATAGCAACAAACCGCCCAGCAACAAACTTTTTCCTTTATATTTCCACCTACTTCTAGGGCCCATATCTTTGTTATTTAGAAAGATAGCGAAAAACTAAACACACGGTTGGAAAGCTTGGTCTTTTCTCTATCTTAAACCGAGTTTTCGTCCGCCGATATGTTGATAATAAGAGCAAGAAAAAAATAAGAAACGTCGCGCAGCATTCAATTTACCTTAAAATTACCAAACTTCATGGCCTTGTGCAGGCGTTACCAGATGGAAATTCAATAAATGGTTTACATATTCGGAAAGAGCTGACCTTGGACTATCTTATTCCGAGTTTTCGTCCGTCAATATTCGTCGGCGTCTGTAAAAAAAACGGTCCTGAAAAGGAGCCTACAGTTGGCAACAAACTTTACTTTTGTATTTCCATCTATGTACTTTTCGGACGGATATCTTTGTTATTTATAATGCTAGCGGAAAACTAAGCACACGGTTGGAAAGCTTGGTCGTTTCTCTATCTTAAACCGACTTTTCGTCCGCCGATATGTTGATAATGAGAGCAAGAAAAAATAAGAAACGTCGCGCTGCCACGAATTTTTGCCGCGGCTAAACCACGCTTGGGTCAATAACTCTCTTATATGACGGGGAGAAAACTCTAGAACTATATTCATCTTATGGGAAATTTTCTGCTCTTTTCATCGGTATATAACACATCTCAATCACACGTTTGCACAATCGTTTATCAGCCCAGCAACAAACTTTCCCCT